AAAGAGAACTGTATTCATAGATTTTCGACAATTTTTCGAAAATTCTCTACTATCCATACAATTTTCTGTAAAATATAATGAAGATAATTTAAGATTTCATGGTTTTCCTTTCATTTGATTTATCACGTTTGTTGGAGAGATTTAATCCTTATACTTAACCCTAAAGATCGATGCAATAAAAATACAGGATGTACCTAATTTTTTACAGATTTTAGTTGGTTCGATTCCCGGGTGTAGCAAGCAAATTTTTGAAAATCTTTGAATGCAGTTCTATTTATTTTCAAAAATAAAGGAATGTTTTCTTAGAGATTTTTTTTCTATCTACAATATTAAAAGTACTTTCCCTCCAGGTGGCATTACAAAATTCCACCCTGTATATACCGCTCGTGTAGGATCGGCTTAAGTAAGAGCAAAGGTTAATTCATAATGTGAATGGCCAATAAAATGGGTTCTCGTGTTCACTAATTTAATTCAGTACCTGTTCAGCTATCAGTAACTTGAACCTTATTGCCTTCACTTTTCCTCATATCGCTCATTCATGTTACAATAGTTGCTAAAATAAAGTAATAAGACATAAAGGAAAAATCACTTGAGGGATATAGTCAGAATATTATATACAAATGAGTAGGTCATCTTTATAGAAACGAACGGGCCGGGCGTGGTTTGTATGTGAGCGCGCCAATATGTACCTATGCGGCGCGCACGCACACACTGACAAAATTTTGCGTGGATTAGCGGGGAGCCAGTCGTGGTTGCGTCGAATTTTATCAGTGTGTGAGTGCGCGCCGCATACCTAACCTAGATTGGCGCGCTCACATACAAACCGCGCTCGGTGCGTTTCTATGAAGATGACCTACTCATTACTTTGGTATAGTCGACAGGATATCAGACTACACATAATGTGTAGGCAGAACATCATCATCATCTCAGCCACTGCTGAACGTAGGCCTCCCCCCAATGCTTTACATGTTGCCCCTTGCTAGCGGCCTGTGTCCAACGCCTTCCTGCTACTTTTACGATGTCGTCGGTCTACCTTGTGGGTGGAAGTCACACGCTGCGTTTTCTGGTATGCGGCCTAGAAATCCATCCCATCTGGCGTCAGTTCTGCGTAATATGTGCCCTGCCCATTGCCACTTCAGCTTGCTAATCCGTCGGGCTATGTCAAAGACTTAAGTTCGTTTGCGGATCTCCTCATTTCTGTAGTATTTAATTTCTTTTATTATTTTATTATTCTAGTGCTCTTTCTCTTATTGCTACCTATCAATGCAGTTTTATGATCGGTAATTTTTCTTGAAAACTATTCACCGTTTATGTAAATACCTTATTACTATGTTCGCGGCAGTAAACAAAATATTACTATTTTGCTATAATAATATGTATTTGCAATCACCGTAACGCAAACGTTCAGGTCAATTGACAATTTACACACGGGAACTCACCAAATGGAGCATCACGTTACCCAAATTGACGCTGAGCGAAAATGCATGTTCCGATATTAATCCAATTAGTGTAATGATCATTAATCATTTCCATTTCTGGTTTCTGCGTGCGTTTTCATGTGTTTGTTTATAAATAAATTTTCACTGTTTACATTTAAATGATCACAGTTTAATGAATTGATGACTGATACTGATCATTCGTAAAATAAAAGTGATTATGGCAAGTTGGATTTTAGCAAGCTCTTCTATTTTCTGACATCACTTTATCAATTCACACACACACCAAACGCAACCTAAAATATGTGGTGATATTGTTTCTTTTTGGTTATGATAAAAAAAAATTGCTTAATGTTAATTTGTTAAGGGAGAGCGACTCCTTCTGTCTGGCACAGGTGCCATTGCACTTACAATAAAGAGTCCACCTCAAATCCTAGTAATTGTTGTTGTTAACGAAATAAACATTTTTCATTTTCATTTTCATTTATCGTATTAGTTACTTGCGTAATTTCATAATTTGTTGTTGCTCTAAGTCGGTGCAACGATAATTTTATATCCTTCAGCCACAGTTTTAACTAGGTACCAAGTTCTATCGCAAAAAACTTGCCATTTGAGAGCAAAAGAAAAAACGGAAATGACTACTAGACCTGATGTTACGTAACGTAACGTAATAATAATATGACTAGCATAATGATATGTAATCGTATTTATATCGATTATTTATTTAGGTATTTTAATTTTTGGTTTGGTTGGTAAAGGTCGCGGGAAGAACCTGGATGCGGGCAGCGCAGGCCCAGTCGTTGTGGAGATCCTTGGGGGAGGCCTTTGTCCAGCAGTGGACGTCATTTGGCTGAAACAAACGAACGATTTTTTGGTGAAACCTAATCCCATAGAAATGAGAGATTTTAATTAATTAATATTCCTGGTCAATTGACTATCAATATTGGGAGGCCTTTGACATGGACGTCATTTGGCTGAAACGAATGAACGGATGAATTGACCAGAAAACGAGCACGTATCCAAAGTGGCTGGCATTGCTGGTGAAAAATAAATGAGGTTGCCTGCAATCAGCACGAAGGCTGCACCATGTGTCCATGTGTCGAACAGAACAGCTGTTATTTATTGATCGCGGAATTATCAACTAGCCTCGCAGTTTAAATTGACCTAGACGGAGTAGTTTTCTAAGCTACCGTTCCACTGAACTTCTGACTAGGTAATAACATTATTTCTGCTTTGACTTGACACACCAGCCGGGTTGAGGTGCGCACCGTGATCAGATTTCGCAAAATTTGTCCACTGTTTGCACAACCGTCTGCGGTTTGCCCTTAGTGGTGGGTTGACCGAAATGTGTGCTTGCGGGATTTAGACCGATGGGACCGACGACCGACATTTGCGTGTTTTTTCCGACAATACGCAGACAAACGGTCTGCGGTTTGTTTAGATATACTTACTTTATTGATGTCAAAATGTATGGGCGTAATCGATAAAATGGCGTGATAACCGCTTATCGCGGCGCGCATACTAGGTCTACAGATCAATTTATTATTTAGAGATGATTGAATAATTATTAACAGACGTTTAACTTTTTCGACCTAACGTTTATTTATTCATGAATTTCAATAACTAAGTTTTGGGTCCCTAACTTCAAGAACTTATTTTGATTTCAATAATAATTTAAAATAGATAAAGTTAAGATCTTATTAATTACCTAGGCGCTTTTTCAGTCTCAAATGAACGAGTTAATTAACACTTTAACCGCCGGAATATGCGTATAATCATAATAAATACAGACTGAGTACCTGAACGGCTGTTAAAGGGTTAATCCAAATTATAAGTCGTCAGTTTGACTAAATATTATGATCCTTTACTTTTATAACACTAACTTTTCATTTAAAAGAGTGTTTCAAGACAAGAATTTATATGGATAACCTGTTGATAAACAACCACCCTTCGACATTTGCAAATTCGGAAAATTTTAACTCGATGCATGGCCTTTCTCACAGAAACCCAGCTTAAAAGTCACTTTCCTTATTCATAACCCACCAGTTAAAGCGGACTATCTTATCGGAAGAGCCGTTCCGTTGGCCATTTGTTACAGTTATCTGAAATTCTTTCTATCAAACGTTAATCCTTCATCTACGAACTATTGATGGAAACAACATGCATCAGTGTCGTTTAGATAGAGATAAGAGATGTTTTTCAGTGTGTTTCAAATTGGAAAGTGTATTAGAATAATCAGTCCCATTTGAAGGACGACGATGTGGTTGTCGAGAAATGAGCAAGACTTCTTGATGTTTACAACGATTTACTTCGTAACGTGAAATTTACAAAAAAATATATGAGTAGGCTAAGTACGTGCGTCTTGCCCGGCGGTTTGCGGCGAGTAGAGCCGAGGGCGTTTTCGTCGTTGGTCGACGGTGCGCGTCCAGTTTTCGAAACCAGTTTCCTGCGCCGGCGCAGGACCGTTCGTTGTGGAAATCCTTGGGGAAGGCCTTTGTACAGCAGTAGACGTCATTTGGCTGAAACGTGTTAGAGAGATCTGCACAAAAATCATCCGTAAAGACCACGCTATAATGAGAACATAAAATACACGATAGGATTGCGTGTAAATTACTGTGAAAATGTATGAAAACACAAAGAAATACCCACATTTTTCACGAAAATTGCTCTGTTTTATTAGACATCCTTAATTTGGCATTAAATTTTAACAACACAATAAGACAAAGATTTATTCACGACAATATAATTTAAAATACTGGCTCGCTAAGAGGCTGCTAAGGGTCCTTGTAAGATCCAATCAAAACTTTGTATAATTTCATTGTTTTTTCTTTGTTTTAATAAATACGCTAATAGCGGTTTCTTCCATTACGCTAAAGTAGTTAATACAATAATTTAGGAAAAATTATGTCCAAACGAACCCAAAATTCATAATTTTAAACAATCATTAATAAACTTGACTCTAGATTTGTTTGTTGCAAAATCGCACCTATTGATTATTATGAATAATACATTAAAAATAATTAATATTACATAGGTACGATACCATGGTTCTTATTCGTAGATTTATGTGCTTTTTTCTGACATGCTGAAGATAATTTTTTGATAACAAAACATATTAATGGTTACATATTACATAAACATTTATGAGTTATTTACATGAGATAACTTTGTTAATCACTGATTTATTAATATTATCTTCAAATATTTGTGTCTTGACATATTGATATCGACTCATTTTTGTACAGTCGACAGAATTCAGTTGATTTGGACTAAATTTATTTGCGTATTACAGAAGATTATTACATTCCAGTCACTTGCATGACCATTTACGGTCTGCAAAATGCCACATGAAGAAATGTGTGGAAGTACCGAAAATGACGAATTGTCGGTGAAAGTGTTAATAAAAAAAAAACAAATTTTTTTATAAATAAAATTAATAATGCAAAATGTTTTATAAACGTATAAATATGTATACCTATGTTTAATCCTTTCAGCTATGTCAAAAACAAGATAAAATAGTAGCTACTATCTAATCAGAATTGGATTATGTAGGTATGAAGAAATCAATTTGTTTTCGGACGTACACAATCCGAAACCAGACGTGTTCTGTGTTGAATAATATATTATATTTATTTTAATTTAATTTTTAAAATGGAGAAAAGGATAATGCGAATCAACCCGAAGTCTGTGACGGCCATAGCGTCGGGGACATCATCTTCTGATGGTAAGTTTTTTTTAATATATTTTAAATGTAGAGTCGACAGCATTTATCAAGGTCCTTTTTTTTATTTATTGAACCTGTTAAAACTGCTTAAGATGTCATAGGATTTAGTTTTTTTTTTTCAATGTTCCGTCCGACGTCAGCATATCATTGTGAACTAAGAGACCAGTTCAAACGCACATGATATTATGCTGACGTTTACATACGACTACATCTGATTGGTTTTAAATAGGTTCAAAGGTAAGTCGTGCAACGAGGCATTTACATCAATAATTATCATTAACTAGCTTTCCGCCCGCGGCTTCGCCCGCGTGGAATTTTGTCTGTCACAGAAAAACTTTATCGCGCGCGTCCCTGTTTCAAAAACCGGGATAAAAACTATCCTATGTTCTTTCCCGGGACTCAAACTATCTCTATGCCAAATTTCATCAAAATCGGTTGCGAGGTTTAAGCGGGAAAGCGTAACAGACAGACAGACAGACAGACAGACAGACAGAGTTACTTTCGCATTTATAATATTATACAGGGTGTTTGGCGCATCGTGTGCCAAAATGATTATGTGCGTTCCCTTCGAGAGGCCACTGTGGAAAACGAAGGTTTCGTATACATAAAGATTTAGCAGAACCTCTAAAACAAATGTAGCCAGAACGATAAATTTGTAGGTGTTGTAAGTTGGACGCTACAACCCGCCGAATGTGGTCCCTCACATGAACTATGTGAAATACCAAATTACTGAATCTGACCAAATAAGATGATTTTGATGAATGGTAATATTTAGAAGGTAAATCGTAGGGCTACATACGAAAATAAGAGCTCTGGATAGTTACTGCAAATAAAGAAAATCCAATCAGACGATGGGCCCTCAGTTCACCAGTGCACAAAATTTACGTTAATGCTACAAATTGGAACTTGAGACTAAGTTTCTTTGGTATGGTTTTAATTTTAGCAGAAGTAGCCACAATGCTACCCTGAGAGTACAGGGTTTATATATTCTACTAGTACAGAATAAAAGCTCTAGTAAAGTGAGCACTCGGAACACACGCTAAAAACCAATTCCATGATAAATATCTCGCCCAACTCATTGTTTGATAAAAATAGTTAACACCATTTTATGTACAAAATTTGCAGTTTAAAATTGTATTAAAATATTTTTGCTGTATAAAGTATTTAAAGAAATATCTTGCTTCTTAAATTCTCCGTAATGATTTTGTGTATGTTAACCACATTGTCGATTTTTTTAGGAAAATCAAAACTAAAGTATAAGTAGGTAGGTATTCTGTACTATTGCCTAAGAGGTATTTTGAGATAAATCCGAGTCTATTGATTTTATTTTAATTAAATAGGTACGACGTAAAAATAATTTTATTTAAAGTACCTACGCATTGTGTGATACGGAATAGTCGTGGTGTGGTCGGTCCACGCCACGTCTTCCGACTCGTCGTCACCACTCAAGAACGAGCTATGTGCCTAGCCCAAGCTGCCACTTGATTTTAGCGATGCTGCGGGCTTTGTCAGTCNTTTCGAGTTAGTTGACCCAATCAGAACCTTTTAGGACCATAATGGTGAGTCAGTATTCTTAATAAAGTTTTAATTTATTTTAGGAAGACCAGGTGCAGGTTTTAATAGTGCCTTTTAATAATAAATAATCAATGAAAAATATGATAACAGGATAATTTATCAAACGCTCAGCCATAGTTTAACGTTTTACTATCTTATCCGGAGACAAAAGGTATCAGAGTCGACTACATAATATCAGACTACACATTTTTGTAGTAAAATCGCCACTCTTACAATTAAATAAGATCCTCCACTGTTTTACTTGACATGCTAAGTATTGACTGTACTTCTACAGACTACATTTTTATCGATTTATCATCACTTGAAAGTTAATGTTAAGGTTATATTAATCTCAATCGGCTCAAATTTATGTTCGGGTTAAGACTTTTTAGAGTTTTCAGCAAGTATGGGATCAATATTCTTTAGTAGGTACAGACAGAGTCAAATAGTTTGTGACACCCTAAATTCGCAACACGTCTTTGTTACTTGGAACTGTTTTTGTTGTCAACTTTTTGGCCACTTTGGGTGTCAAGAACTATTTTGAAGCTGACTTTACTTACTAAATGAGGGTTTTCGCGAATGAAAGATCCGCTAGATGGCGGGACGTGGATGTGGGGTCTGACTGCTGCGTGATTGGTGGATTTTGACATTTTATTATCTGTCAATGTCATGTCAAAAATAACCAATCATGCAGCATTTGGACCTCGCGTCTACGTATTGCCAACTGGCGGATTTTTCATTCGCGAAAACCCTCATTCTACAAGATCAGAGGAAATCTGCCCTAAAATTGACTCTAATTCAATGCGATTGTTTAAAATGGATACAAAACTTTTCAGCTTACAACGGCCAAACTTGAAGTATACACTAACACTTCTCTGTACTTCGATTGAAAAGGATTAAAAGATTGAAGTTGTCGAGTTCTGTGCTAAATAAAAGGAAGTGTACTTCAGAGAGAATTCAGCCACATTTCCTGTTCCTTTCAACTGGCGTGGCCATTTTGTGGTGAATTTCAGACCAGTGAGAGAGAATTATAGAGTGGGTGGCGGTTGTTTTCTTCCATTTTACAATCCTAGTGGTTTTACTAGCTTCGCAGTTCAAGTTTATTAATAACCTCATATCTAATAATTATAATTTTGGCATCTCACTTACGTGGATGTTCAGCTATAAAAAATGTCACTCTCACAATTTTATTAAGACATAAAAATCTTTGATTTAAGTGATTTTTAAGAAAGAGTTCCATTGAAGGGTTGAAAGACCTTTTTATTTAATAAAGTACCCCGCATACTAGAATAGAGTGTTGGCTTAGAAATTGATGTTTCCGTATATTCTATCGCGCGTGTTTTCCCACTACGTATTATCTTTTTTTATCACACGAGATAACCCTTCAGAAATAAAGATAAAACCTATAACTTATGAATAGATCGTAAAAATAAGAACAATAATGCTTATGCCGCCATCACACGGACTGCAACACAACAACCGCACGAAGTCGCATCAGCAACCGCACGCAGTCGCTATAATCAACTGCATGCAGTTGTCTGCAATCGCATCTGACTTCACGCAGTTGACTCCAAGCATCTAGATTCTAGACCAGTAGGTCAGTGTCAGGTTTGACGTCAATCATGATGTCTTCATACATTTCTGGCGATGAAATACTCTGGCTAGGAGTTTGTTGGTTGCAAGAGAGGTGTGTACTTCCCATTGATTGCAAACTGTTGGAATTTTGAATTTGTGTTGAGTCATTTGCCACATTTCTCGAATATTGTGTAGCAGTGTATCTTCTGAAATAGTCTGGAGGCGAAGGCTGGTTTCTTTGAGGTTCGTTTTGATGTGAAGATTTATTTTTGTAATATCTAATTACATTTATGATGTCACTTTTCGCGTCTAGTTTATCATCAGCAGGTATCGCTTTGAAATCATTCAGCAGACATAACAGGAATTGTTTATCGGAATCTTTTTCCTCGCTACTTAATTTTTCCATCACGTTTTTAGTCAAGCTTTCAATTAAAATATTACTATTGTCAGATGATGTTTCCAATGATGTTTCCTTTGAGGCTCGTTTTGGTTTTTTTGTAGGAATCTCATCAGGTGTAATTTCACTTTGTACATTGGAAGTCCCGGCGCCGCCTGGATCACGCCAGCCTTTAACAGTCATTGTATCTTTTAAAAATAATAATTGTTTATGATACTTGTACAGTTTCGTTTTTGCTCCACTTTTCTTAGTTTGATTTTTTATACTTCGCATAAAACCATCTCTTAACACCTTCCATCTGCCCTGTAGTTTAATTGCTGTAAATAAACAAAAAACATGATATTAATAATTATATTTTGATTCATTCATCATCATCATCATCATCTCAGCCATATGACGTCCACTGCTGAACATAGGCCTCCTCCAATGTTTTCCATGCTGCCCGGTTGGTAGCGGCCTGCGTCTTTGAATATTTTGATTATTCACATTCACAGTATAAAAAATTAGCCAAGTGCGTGTCGTGGCACGCGCAGTGTAGGGTTCCGTAGTTGTCCCTCCTTACCACAATATATTTCAGAAGCAAGCAATTATACTTTAACTAAAGTCACTTTTCATATTTTCTTCTAATGATTTTTTATGAGGTACGAATTTTTTTAATAGGTACATGAGTTAGACGACTATTACTCTTATGTCCTTTTTCACCATCAATCCTTAATTTTTAAGTGACCCCTTTGAAAACAAAATTCCTGTTATGTGTTACCATAGGGGTCACTTAAAAATAGGGATTGATGGTGAAAACGGGCATTAAACTAACTGATCTATCTGTGGCTCCTGAGCAGGGAGACGACAAAACGAAACAGCTGGATGCGTGTGCGATAATCAAGAGCACAGTTTATGAATTATTAACTGCTTATATATACCAATAAGATGTGCGTCAGTCGTGTGACGCGCGACCTACTGTGTTTTGTCTATTAAACAAACGCTGACGCTACATATCTTAACCGTTATAGTTTTCCTTTAAATTTTATAAAAAGCATTATCATTATGAATTTTTCCAGATTTTTCAAGCCAACTGCAGTTTAGTTTATAGAGGGGGCGGGGGACATTCTTATGACCACAACGCCTGCTTAGATACGATTGAACTATTTTTTGCATACAAATTTTTGAACTCCCTAACAGCTCATGGTCAACGTGCCATAAAAACATCTTAGGCTACATATCAATTTATTTAATAATTGTTTATTACTATCAAAAATCTTTTAATACACCACTACATATTTTTATCAACGAAATAATTTTAACAGGTTACTTATGTGTTAAAAATGTAGAGTATTGTTTAATAAAATTTTCTTTAGTCCGTATTTTCCGCGTCACAGCTGGGGCACTCCGCTGCTCGCTAGGAGTAGTCGTACGCGCTCGCAAATTGCCCCGATCTGTCTGTCTCGCTCACGCCTCGACCACACTTCCAGTGTTATATTACTTACTTAGCTTAGCTAACTCAGACCATTTCAAGTAATTTTGAGTTGTAATAAATGTTACATTATCTTACGTAAATAGTGCTAGCGACGCGTGTGTCCATAAATTACCAATTTTGGGATAAAATATTGAGTAACTTTATTTAACTTTTTTTTTACATAAATAGGATCAGTATCAATAACTCATTACCCAGATTTTTTTTCGGTGATAAAAATGTAGTGGTGTATAAGAAAATAATAAAAAATTTAAAACTTACCAATAGCATTTTTTTCCTTATTATTCTTTTCTGCAAAATTTGGTATCATTGATTCGCATACAAAAGCCCAATCTTTATTGCGCTTTATTTTGTTACTATATTCTGGAGTTTTATAATTCCATATGCTGACTTTACTTTTTATTAAAGAAATGAAGAATTCGGTGTCGAAAACCATTTTTCAAACCATTCGACGCAACCAACGCGCGTTCGGCTCCAATACTAACTGCAGAGTAACTGTATGCGAACGGAGCGCGCGGTAACACTACACAACCACAAAATGTAACTGTGTAGCCGACCGCGTGAAGTTGAAGGCACGACTAGACTGCACCATTGCACGAAGTCGAACGTTCTATCGGCAACAATGACTGCCCATGTCGTCTCTTTCTATCGCAAAGAATCACCATTTGAGAGCGAGCGCAAAAACGGAAATGGATAGATAACACTCTGGCCGTATGTACAACTGCATGCAGTCCTGTACTATTACTTATTCTGTGATGCAGTTAAATATATCGACCACGCGCTATGACCGCGCACGGTAGCTGGTAGCTGCGATGCAGTCCGTCTGATGTCAGCCCATACAATTAACACAGTATAATAATTATAGATTTATCTACTGTGCAAGGAATGTTGTCCTGTAAATTAATCATCAAGATATGAAGGCGACACTAATTTATCTTTACTTTCTTTTTACTCCCTAATCAATAATCAATTTATTGTTTAAATTAATATTTTTAATTAATTAATCGTCTTTATTCTCTAAGAATAGGAAACATTTTTATTGATGAGTTTGTTTAAAGTAGGTAATCTTTTAGGTAACAGAACCCGATTTTGAAATTATGATAGTTAGGTATCTTTAATTCCTGTGAGTGATATTAGCTATATTTAAATCCCAAGTGGGCAAAAGTTAGGCATTAAGTAATAAGAGCAAACGAATTACTCTAAATGAAAGAATAAAAGGGTAACGTAGAGATTTACTGTAATTAAGTCAAATTATCTCAAAACAATTGTAGCATTTTACAGAGAGCTGTTGTTTAGATAGGAAATAATACAGGCCAGTCCAGTTATAGTCTGACAATGATCCACGCGTTACGGGGCAGCCTGTACAAATAATGCTCATTTCGTATTATACAGGGCGTTAGGCGGAATGATATAGATATCTCTGGAGTTGACACTGGATACCTATCATCAATTTGACTAATGAATCATAGGTATTCATCTATCTTATTGTGAAAAGTGTGATCATTTTTGTTACAGTCAAAAATGTTTAGGCTGGGTGCACCATCTTACTTTAACATTGACAAAATTCAAAAAATCTGCCAAACTCCATACAAAAACGCTGGTTCTCGTTATGTTTACGGTCAAAGGTGGGTGGTGCAACTCAGCTTTAGATGCTTATTGCTTTGGTAATATGATTTTGACTTTTGGTCCTAATGAGATTTATTCCCAGTCCGTTCGTTTCGTTCGTTCGTTTCAGCTGAAAGACGTCCACTGCTTGACAAAGGTTTCCTTGTCCTGTATTGTCCCTGTTACGAAAAAATAATTTTGATGACAGCTAAAAGCTAATGGGTTTTGGTGACACACAAACATTTTTGTAAAGGTAAAAAGGTAAACTAAAACTTCTAATCACTCTTTTCACAATAAGGGACATGACTTAAAATTATCATATTTAGGTGTCCTCTGTCGACTCCAGAAACCAGTCGACCATTTCGCCTATCACCCTGTATAAGGAGAAAGTATCCTCTTCATTAAATCGGTATGGAGAGGCCTGTGTGGTTGATTACTCAGTCCTCCGAATCCCGGAAAAAGAATGGACTTATTATGATTTGGAAATAGATAACGCTTATTTCTATATAAAAGGTTCTCTATTTAAACATGAGAACGACTTTTTCGGATGTCATTTGTTTCTATTAGATTGAAAACAATTGAGAAACGTGTTTGATTTTAAATTTTTTGCAATGGTAGAACTATTCGAATACGATTTCGATTCATGAGCTTGTTACCATAAATTAACTATATTTTTCCTTTTTTAATTGATAACCTAAATATCGATATCAATATCGTCTACGTAACATTGCCACTGCTCATCTGTGGTTTCAGGTTTGACCTTCACCTTATTGAATACTAACTTCCCAGAAACGGCACAATACCGATTATGTTGTCCTGAAGTTGTAGGAAAAACTATGCATAATACTGACATGTACATATATACGTGCCTGGAGATTGGTGGATAACATTATACACTAACGTAATATAATATTTTATTCTGGTGGTATTTGTTATTACGCTTCGTAATTATCTTTGGCGTATTTATTACATAACTAGTACAAACCAAACACTGCGGGCTCTTACTTAGGTAAATGTTAGAGTTGCTTCTTTGTTATACAAACTCGTCTGTCGACTGTACAAAGTTATTTGACAGCACACCAAAATTTGTCCTTTGTCATTGTCCAGCAGTGGACGTCATTTGGCTGAAACGAACGAACACCAAAATTAGCCAAAAAGTTCGCAACACGTCTTTGTTACAATTAAAATTGGGTTGTGTTATCAACTTCTTGGCCACTTTAAGGCTGAGTTGCACCACCTAACTTTGACCGTAACTATAACGATAACCAGTGCTTTTTGTATGGAGTTTGACAGATTTTTGACGTTTGTCAAAGTTAAAGTAAGATGGTGCAACTCAGCCTTAGTGTCATTAACTATTTGACGGTGACTGTACTATTCCACGATGTTATTATCTCCATCAATGAGGCATTTACAAAACTGAAAGTGTTTGAATCGATTTCGACAACGATTGTGCCCACATTATCACCAAGCATAGACTTCAAAACTTTAGCACTTCACCAGATTTCGTCTTAAAACAAGTTGGCGTTAGCAAGTCTTAAATAAATAAATCCTTGATGAACTTTGTAAAACTAGAACATTAATTCAGGTCAGAAACTTCGGCTGAACTATGCAAATTCGCATAAACATACTGTAAACGTTCCATTAATGTCTTAAAGTTAGACTTTACACGCTCTTATTTCCATAATTCGTTGAATTAAATGTTGCAGCTCCCACTTAAGTAATTCCGTGGAAGAATATTTTAGCAATGCAGAGCGTTTTGAATAAAGTTTAAATCATAAGTCTCGGTTATAATTTCAAATAAATAGCAAAAATTATTTTATGGTAATCAATTTTGTATGTTCTTATTTATTTAAAAGGGTTCCCATTATTATTAGTTAGTAGGTTGTTTTATAGAATAAATCAGTGTAGGTAATACTTAGAGACCACAGTCATAGCACAGTCATGGTCACAGTCATAGTCATAGTAATTTATTCCATAAACAATAACATTATCTTATTGGAAAATATAAATTAGGTAGGTATTTAAGATTTTAAGAATTATGTTAAGAAGGACGAGATAAGACAGGTTTAGTTAGACAAGATTAGATGTAATATTGTTGTGTTAGAGTAGTCTGTAAAATTAACCATATTACCATACTTATTTTAGGTACTTATTTAGATGTTATATCTTTTTCAGCGGAACAAATTTCAAAGCTCAGAGCGTCACAGTCCCCCATCGCCATATCGCTGCAGCGGTGTCCCACTTGGTCTTCCTTGGACCCTCTTCGCTTCAGGGGCTACTGGGACAACGAGGTCAACGGCATTCTTGTCAACAATGGACACACAGGTAAGAGACCAGCTTAATTTCAGGATTAGTTAAGTATAATATACTAACCTACTGAATCGACAGGTAATGGAATATTCCTTGTTAGAAAACTTTATGCTGATAATGAAAAATTTGCTTTTAAATCTGAACCGCTCTAGCTATTTGATCAAAATTTACGCAAAAAAAAAAACCAAATTCTCCTTCTTTCTGGCTGGCTTGTGAAAAAGGTGGATCAATTCTACTAAAAAGGCTCAGATAAGATTTGAACCAACTACCTTTAGCTTGTCGAGTGCCTTTATAATCATAAAACTTTTGTGGCATTCCTATAAAAACATGGAGTATTTAGAGATTTACTTATGGTTACAGTCAACAGTTCAAACGCTAACAAGATTTTCGCCCGTATTCACAAACATTACTATGAGGTCTCACAGTGCTCGTGGACGCACAAGATGACACACAAACCAATCACAGAGCTTTATTCAACGCTGTGCGTTCGATTTTCTGCTTCACTTAAGAAAGCATCGTTTGTGAACACGGGCGTTTAACTTCGGTGCTAAACAAGTCGAAAACAAAAAGTTATATCAAACAAAATCAGAGACCTGTTATCGACAAGTTGATAAGATAACAAATATTATGACATGGTACACAAGTAAGGATTTATATATATTGAACTTGAATTATTACCATTTGTATTTAGGTGACATGATAAATACGGTGTTTCTCTTGACACTGATAAATGACTTGGTTTAACTGCTGTTAATATTTTAACCATTTTCCTTTTTCTTTTTTTGTAAACAACATTTTCAGGGTAACGATATTAACATAATTCCTATGTTATTTATTCACGAGAAAAACTTTTGAATTGTTCAAAGTTATTTAACTGGATTTAATAAGAACAAAAAAAAAACTTAAGACAACTCGCCACTCTACAAATATTTACTTGTATTGATCTGAAAACCAAGAACTGCTTTGTTTATACTAATCAATAGCAAACTTACTATGAAAACTGTTTAAAACAGTGTCGATGGGAATGTAAATGTAAGTTACCCACGACACTACTGCCTTGGTAGTGTAGGTAGAAGGGAAAAAATATTTCCCACGACACTACTGGTAGGTGGGTCAGAAGGGGAAGGGGACACCGAATATTTCATTTCCTATTGCTTCTTTGCATTCAACATGATAGTTATCAAACATGATAGTTATCATTTCACACATGAACAAAAGAATCCATAAGTTTGCACATAGTTAAAGGAGAACATCAGATTATAAGAACGTTAACACTGTCTCAGCTATTTTGGAATCGAGGAAGAAATCAAGGAAAAACGAATAAACGTTGATTACTTGTTTAATTGAACGTGGAAGTGGAACCTCAAATAGATAGAAAATCTTACCATTTAAGCAAAGATTTTTCGAATTCGAACCTTTTATGAAAAGCTTCTTTTCCTGTGACATATTCTTATTTTTTTTTTTTAGCTTACTTCACGTTCGAGTCTTCAGCGAAGCCCACTCTTAACGGCGGCCCACTGCTGGGCGAGTACATCTTCGAGCAGATGCACTTCCACTGGTCTGTTGATGACTTCACTGGATGCGAACACGTTTTAGATGGACACGGGTGAGCATAATAGACTTTAGCCCTCTAGAAATACAGATAGCATATTTTGATGGTTACCTAGTTGGGTTTATGTCAGAGCACGCAGTTCGATCCCTGCATACCTATCAACAAACTACTGTAAAATAAGTAGCGCTCAAACTGTAGTACGGGAGTTGAGAAATCACACACATAGACAAAATATATGTAATATGGGACAGATAATAAGAGAAGATGAAGATAATACCAACAAAATACGACCTTGAATAGTACCTATAAAACCTATAATAATCATCATTTCGGTCACAGGACGGCCACAACTGAATTTACGCCAATGATTTCCAGGTTGGACATCATCTGACAAATATTGCAGCCTCAGATCATAGAAAGAGAATAGATATGAAGTCGCGCGTAACTACAACGAGAACCAGTGTCCCCACATTTCCCCCACCACAGCTCCCACACACACATTCAACTGTGTAAAAACAAAGCGACTGAGAGTCTACGACAACATGTGCAACCGGCTTAAAAGTGCTGTCCGCGTGACGTGACGCACACTTTGAAAAAAGCAATTAGAGAGAAGAAAGATAAAATGGAGTCGATAAGATATCGATACTTTAAATCCTGGGGGCAAGGCTCGAAATTGGTTTAAAAAATGCTTGTATGAAAACCTTTTTATTATTATACGTTATGTTTATGTTCTTTAACGATTTTTGCATAAAGGAGTCAGTTCCATTTTGTATGGAAGAAAAACTCAGAATCAATTATTGGGACTAAATGAAGTTACCTTACATTAATTTACCCCAACCAAAGCTCAATGTCGTTATCGATGGAGTATAGAAGTTATAGACTGACAAAGTTTGTATGAAAAGTCATGGGTTAAGTAGGTACTTGCGATTTTTACCAGTATTTACAATATTGGTAATATATTATTATTTACTTTAATAATAATAACAGGATCACTGTAATTATTATTAACTACTATCGCGCATTAACTTTTTAATTATGGCGAAATTCGTACCGCCTATGTTTATCAAAAATAATGCCTATATTAGGCTTTCAACTAGCTCTTATAGTAATTACATAGTTGACAGTTACTAATCCCTTCTACTATTGTTATTGTTTTTGTAAAAACTTAAAAATCGCAAGCAACTCATGATTTTTTCATTCAAAATTAGAAAATAGAAAATAATAATTTACTTCTATTTATCGATAATAGGAAACCGTATTAGAACACGAGCCCTGCACTATGTTACGACCGGCACATGCGGCCGTACTGTGTATTTTCACGCGTCAGTGGATATCGGAAGAAATAAAATACATTGCGCAGTAGTTACGCATGACATAAAGTGGTTGCTAACTAAATCGTCAATGTACAACGTGTTTGAATTTTTATCACCACTAATTTCGATATCGCAGTAAATGTCACGGCACTGAATTCGTTCGTAAAAATGTTTAGTTTTTTTTATTTATAAGCAAAATACCAATGGATTTGCAATACTTACATGTGGTAAATGACTTCATTGTTCCTGTAGTTCTTCGTTTCACTTATGTTATTGCACGTTACGACGCATTATCCAACAATATCGGAGAACATTTCCTCAGTACGACTGAATCGCGACTAACCTGGCGTCGCGGCCGATGTTCGTTTCTGGGCATATCGCGGAGACACGCGCCATGCCCCCGTTTCACATCTATTCCCTTCTATGATCTGAGATTGCAGCAAAGCGCTGAATGCTAAAGTACACCTTATTCCCATTCAACACCGCCCATTTTTAAATCCCCAGATACGCTGCTGAATGCCACTTCGTCCACTACAACAGCAAATACCACTCTTTGGAGGCTGCTGTAGGCCATCCAGATGGACTGGCGGTGGTGGGATTCCTTCTGGAAGCCGTCAACGCCCCCAATCCGCGGTTCGACAAACTTATAGAGGGACTTGAGGGCATCAAACAGCTGGAGAAAGCAGTGCAGGTCACGTCAGGTCAGTTTCTTAACCTTAGACGTAGGTGGTAAAGTAATAAGTAATATGGATGCAGTAAATTGTAGAGCAATATGAAATATGCAATATTGGTGCAGTCTCTTGTTCAAAAAGAGCTCAACAAAATTTTTATTGATAGTGTATGTAAATAAATGTGTAAAGACTTGACCGTGAGGACATTATTTGCGTCGACTGTAAAACTAATTTTCTTTTTGACGTTTCCATTATAAGATTCCCTTAGATTCTACGAAGATACCAAAGAATCATTTTTTGCCTAGGGCATCTAGCAGAACATTTAAATGAGAGATAAAGTATTATGATATTTTTGCAATAAAAGACTCGACAGTTAACTGAGTAGGGAATAAGATGTTATGTCATTGGGAATAAGCGTTCAATGCGCTGCACACAATACACATACCTATAAATAATGAACTAAAAAAAAAATAGACTTGTCTTATCAAGCAATGGGTTTAACTTTTCCCGATCATTCCTTTTATTGGTCAATCAAAATCGACTTTTTTACATCTTAAATCTTTTATCGTAGATTTATTTATGATTACACACAGTTCAAACAATCTTTTTTCCTTTTGCCTATTAAATTACACTCAGTAGATATTTTTTCTTTGAAGTCTTATTCAAAACATAATGATTAATTTTGAACACGTGCAAAATTCAAAGCACGCCACCAATCGTTCAAGTCGTTTCCACAATCAAGGTGTAAAAAGGTCTTTCATAACCAAGAATTAAGGATCAAACTTCCTTGACAATTGCAGACTCCTTATCCTGGATGGACTCATCAGACCTGCAAGAAGGGAACTACGTGACGTACAAGGGTTCATTGACCACGCCGCCCTACACAGAGTGCGTCACTTGGATCATATACGAGAAACCAGTGCAAATTGGAGCGGAACAGGTAAAAAATTATTTTGGAAAATTCTGGACAAAATACGACGCTGAACTCACCTCTGACTTGAAGGGACTTACACTTGGCGTACATTGTACTGTAAACCAAACGTAAAATGGCAAACACTCGTCTATAAAGCGAGGCTACGTGGACAGCGTAGCACTTAGCCAAGGAGCAGATCACCGACTTTTAGTTGGCCGTTAGTTGGGTCAGGCTGTTAAACAGTATGGGTATGTATGAAAGTCCGCCCATTACACCACCATTGGTATCGGCCAATTCTTCATACAAAATATTAGAGTCGGGCCCAACTATCGACCAACTAAAAGTTGGTGGTCTACGCCTAAGCTTAGTGAAAGAGCTAGGGAACACAGAAACAGTCAAATAAAATTCTGTAGAGCAAGTCCGCTGTAGAGACTAATCCAATAATAAATAATATGGTAGCGCTATTAGCGAACAATTCTCAATCTTTTAGTACAAAAAAGTAATTTAAACGTTTTCCTGTTTTTCCCATCCGATATTAAATGACGTGGAATAATATCAAAAGCTCCAATTTTAATTTGTTGACCTTTTTTTGACGAGATTCAATGGCGCGATTTAAGACGGTTCAGTATGTTATTATAATACAGAAAATTGGATGAAGGACGTACTAGGTGGACCGACGATCTGGTGAAGGTCGCGGGAAGAGAGCCTGGATGCGGGCAGCGCAGGACCGTTCATTGTGGAAAACTTTGGGGGAGGCCTTTGTCCAGCGGTGGACGTCCTTTGGCTGAAACGAACGAACGAACGAACGGATGAAAGAATTCTGATCTGGAGTACAATCTCTTACAAATAAAATAATACTTTGCTGATTCTAAATAACTATCCTCAAGGTTGTCTGGAAGAGATCGCCTTATAGTGATAAGACCGCCTTAAGTATGCCGTATCTTTTGCATAATACAATTCTTTTTCTTTCTTTTCTTGTCTTGTGTCGAACCATAATGGTTCGAAAACTAGCACCATAATTTATGTGCATGTGGATTGAGTGATCCTTGCTTCAATCTTAACAAAAATCGAAGAAGTTTTACTTAAAATATGTTAACACTNCCATAATTTATGGTGCTAGTTTTCTTATTCATGAAGTGTAACCAACAACACTAAATAAAATTTGTCATTCTATAAATACCAAATCAAATTAAGTCAACATGAGCATAAATATTTTAACAACATAATTATAATGATATTAATATGATATGACGATGAACTTACCTATATGCTGGGATCATTTGCGGAGGCGGAAATTGGGTTTGCAGATGCGGGTAATTTTACACACTGAATTTCACCATCATTACGTAAAGCTCGGACTCGAATTCGAACGAACGTAAAGCTCATGTGCACTTAAACGGGAGAGATTTAATCAATATTTGAGATCAGTAGGCCTAAGATGCGCGCTGCGATAAGCGGTTATCACGCCGCCATTTTATCGATTTTGCCCATACATTTTGACGTCGATAAAAGTTATTATCACGGCGGACATCTTAGGCATTCAGATGTTGTTAATAAATGTGCACTGCGGTGTCTTCATAAAAAAAATAATTTCTCTCTTTTAAGAGTAAAATCCAGAAAATTAAATAATATAGTTTAATTTTAAATTTTAATCGGTTCAACCAAAAACACAAACATACTCGTACAGGTTCAAACTGAAAACCTCCCCTTTTTTAAATGGGTAATTCTTTTTTTACAAAACTAAACTCAAAAACTCATAAAAACTCACTCATTTATTTATGCTAGTAGACTTATAAAAAGCACTTTTACACGTCCTAGTATTAACCCTACCACTGCTTCACGACAATAAATGGGCCAGTACTGAGAAGAAGCAGCGCAAGAAACTCAGTCACTATTGTCAGCCAGCTGATTTCTGCTTTCTGCAACTGATTTCTGATGATAATTATTGTCCACAGCTGGGCCTCTTGAGGCAACTGGAGGGCTTCGACCACAAGCCGATCGAGAGGAACGTGCGACCCACCCAGCGTCATCCCCCAGGTCATTCCGTCATTTACGTCAAGCAAGTCAAGGCGAAGCTATGACAACGTTTATTAGAAAATATATTTTTACTCAAAACTCTTCGTTTCATTTTCTTAGTTTTAGTTGGAGGAAAAGGGAAAAGTGATTGGAGCTCTCAATGATAGAACTCCGCTGCCAATAACAATTTCAAACTGAAAATAATTCAACACGATATATCAATGTTACGAGGCTCAATGGCCACATCAGTCGTCCGACTAGAGAAAGGTTGCATGGTGTAGGTTCAAATCCCTTCAGAGGCAAAAATATTGTTCAAATAAAATATTTCTTCAAAATTACACGCCGCTTAGAAGTAGGGACATTTTCATTAAACCACAACCAAAACAAACTCCAATTTCAGTGTGACACTCTAGGGGTGAATTCTCCGAAAGTTAAACAAGTCGTAAAATCCTTTACGAATTTCGCCCTACTGTTGAATCATAAAAACTTTAAATTAGTGTTACGAGATTTAATCAAAATGCCTTCCATTCCTTAATATAATAACAAGAAAATAAGAACATGATAAGTTTGTCAATTTAAAGAGTAATAAGCAACTCAAAAGCGACAAAAGTCAAATTCGATCCATCTATTCAAATCTATGCTACTCAAAACGCCAGCACACATCTCGATGGTCGTGACGACGTGTTCATACGCGTACATGTAGAAAAGGTTTCGCATTAAATTCACTTTACGTGGATCCAAGTCCAGCTCAAGTCTGCTTTCACTTAGGATCTCAGACTGACTTTCTGCTGGCAATCGAATTCCACTGACAGTCAACAAACGCTCATACTCCGCATCAAACTTATCGGCCATCATTCCCAGCAACCACTTCATAGCTCTATACTTCTGATTCAGTACACTTTCACCCTCATACCAGGGCTTTAGCATCTCACTATGAGACTTCCTCAATAACTCAAAGTATTTCATCCTCTCATCATACAATTTATCCATCATTGCTGCCCTCCACGAAGTAATAGACAAATCCCAAAGTTCTCCTGGAACCATTTCAGTGTAGAGATCTTTCATCTTCATCACCTCTGTCTGATGATAATAACATACTGGATTCTTCATCAAGAACATTTCAGACTCCAAAAACAGTTTCTTGTATGGATATATTTGAGGCTCTATAGTGCTGGCTTTTGTCACAGCATCGTCGACCATATCTCTAACGATATTATAAACCGCTTTTATATCAATTCTCGATTTAAGTACATTAACTTTTCTATGAAGACTTTCTAGATCTTCAATGGAATCAGCATATAAATTGACAACTATTTTATCAGCTAAGGTATCAAAGAAACAAATATTGCAGAAACTGAGTTCCCAAAACTCGCTGAATATCTCAGGTTTATCGGATACAAAAGTAAAGAAAAATACTTTGCTCTGTCCAGGGGATATGACATCTTCGTTTTTGTTGAAGAAAAATACCTGCTCGTAAATGTCTTCTGGTATAAATGGGATAGTCTTCTTAAGTTTCTTCCAGCAATAACGAAGTGTGACGGTGCCTAAGTTTTTCAAATAGAGCTTACAACGACCAGCCCTTTTTATTGGCACTTTGAAATAGTACGTCCAAGAGGTACATTCTTCATGCCAGCTCTCTTTCTTTATTTTATCCAAACATGCTAAATTCTGTCCAGGTATATCTTTGTAAATTATGGTATTGTTAATCCTGATAGCATAGACAGCCGTAATCTCGGGCTCGTATGGACCATCTTCCGTGATAGTAATGTTAGGTGACGGAGGAAGTTTTTTCACGGGAGTCTTAGGTTTTCCACCACGAACTATCAGTTCACCAATGAGAGGTCTGAAATAATGTTCATAAAAATAAGATGAAATTGAAAAAGGTACTCTTTAATAGAAGAAATGGAACTTACCTAAAAGGATCAATTCTCTTGATTTTCTTTTCGAGTCGTTCTTCTCTATCTTTCCTGTACTTTACGTAATCTGCATCTAATTGCACACACGGCTTGCGTTTAGGCTCTCCAGTTAACCCCTTTTCTTTCTCCTGGACAAAATCTGGTACACCTATGTGCTCAATTACTGCTGGTGTTCCTTTTTCAGCCGCTGTTCTCTGCACTTCGTAAATGGGCTGACAAAAACATGCTTGTTTTAATCTAAGAGGTTGCTCCCAAAGTCCTCCTCTCAACGAAGGCTTCTTTTTAATTTGAGCATGCTCTAAAGCAACTTTCCATTCTTTATCTTCACGAATTTTCTCTAAAAGGTTCATTGTCAGATCGGCTGGAGGGCGCTTAGTTAATTTTCCCAGTCTCGTAGTTTCCTCTTGCCTAATTTTGATCCATTTTTCCCAAACAAGTAATTCGTGATCTGGCTCGATGTGATCGCTCATCCTGATAATCTCTTTTATATCGATATTTTCCCTTCTCTCCATGTTTGTTTGTTGAAACCTCAATTAATTTGAATAATCTGTTTTATTTTTTACCAATAGGTAGGTATTTATAACTTTTACGACATTACATTTTCATTTTCAACTCGGTTATTTATTTTGGAAATTGACGTTTGGCGTTTATACAAAAGAGTCCATTTAATAAATTGTCTTTTAAATAAATGATAGCAAAAGAAATTATAAATCAAATGCTGTGCATCTCATCATAATCTTAATGTAAAATAATTCTCTCTCCATTACAGTATGGAAAAAAATACAGTTAAGTAAGCATGTATTTAATTATATTAATCCAGCTTTATATTAAACGGAGTTTGTGTAATAAGGAAATTATTTACGTCATATTGGTGTCATTTTCCATCAAAACATTTCAAAATGTAGTTGTTTGTAGCATTGGGATAAAATATTTTACAAATTCTTATCAAAAAATTATTGTGTACTAAATAATGCAGATAGCTGTGGTCGTACAAACAGGTAACTTTTCTTTACTACAAATACATGAAGATAGAACAAGCAGCTTACTATCGAAGTCCATAAAATTGTACTGTTCTACTACGATTAACTACCTTTACAGCAGCATGTTACAAATAGCAAGAAAGTAGTGAAATTTTGGTGTCTTTCAGTTTCATAATTTCTAATCGAAAGACCGCAATCTCTACCAATGATTCTATTCATGCCTTACCATCATAAGCTTGTAACCTATTCTTAATAATTCAGAGGAGGAAGAAACAGCAGCTCCGAAAGAAGAGGAAAAAGTTGTACCTCCATACGGAACCGTAGAATGGATATACTACTGGAGTGAGTTCGAGGGTCACCTTCCTACCCCCATAGATGTGTCCATCACGGGGTCTCTTAAATACTCCTGCCCTGAACTCAAGTGGTACAACTTTGATGTATACCCTCATAAGGTTAAGATGACCAATACGGGATATACTCGTAAGTCTCCTAGCTGTTTTTAATAAAACTTTACTTTTCACAACAAGTCATGTCTGACCACGGGAGGAATATACGATCGTCACTCACGTACTGAGTGGGAGAATTACATTTTACCTAAATAAATAAAATTAAAAACATTCAAAGTACTTTACTTAATTTCCTGCAATTCTGAATCTTGTTATTCAAGAAAAGCTCAGTAAGCTTAATGAACACATTCGGCCTAATCCTAGTCAGCGAGTTCTGATTAGATAATAATTACGACAGCTTCCTAAAATTACCACTATTCTCAGGGTAACTATGCAATCTAGGCAAATTAACGCCCGTATTCACAAACATTACTATGAGGTCTCATAGTACGCGTGGACGCACAGGGTGACACACGAACCCATCACAGAGATCTATTCAACGCTGTACATTCGATTTGCTGAATAGTGAATACGGGCGTTAGGCTCTCATATTTTTTGTCTCTACTAGTTCTTATAGGAGCGAAATGGAAGACGGAGCGGCCATATTTAGAAGGAGGACCATTTTTATCTAAACATGTCCTATCACAAATCCATTTTCACTGGGGACCAGACATGATGGAAGGGAGTGATCACACTATTGACAAGAGGAGGTATCCTGGGGAAATGCAAGTAAGTAATGGTAGAAACTTTAGAAAATCAACAAGGCAATTACTTAACGCAGTAGTAAGAAATTACATTATTGCTTAACCTTTTTGTGCGGAAAACGCAGCGTGGGACGTCCATCCACAAGGTGGACCGACGACATCTTAAAGCTAAAGAACGCAGGCCGCTACCAACTGATCAAAATGGAAATCATTCGGGGAGGCCTATGTTCAGCAGTGGCTGTCCTATGGCTGAAATGATGATGATGAAATCATTTTGTAACTTTTTGGAATCTGTAGGTATCAGGCAGAAACCAGGCAGAAATTGACTTTATTTCTTCGAAACTTTATCAAATGATTCAAAGGCAGAATTAATTGGAAATGTAATATAATGAAATCAAAAACTTCGTTCTTATTCCGAGAAAATTGATTAAATTATAATGCTCTAACTGCTAACTGAAGTATTTTTGAGACAAATATTTACCTAGAGGAAAATATTCCTCAGGTAAATAAAATTTCTCATTAACCAGCATAATAATACTTGTTAAGTATTTTCAAAGAGGATACATGATAAGTACCTATATCCCTTCATTTGGCAGTGATGCTTTTAAGCAACAACCACTTTGAATATTTCTATAGCACGAAATAAAAAGTTTTGTACAAATCATTCGATTTTGTTACGAAGCTTAGTTCAGCAAAACACTAGTGAATCGGTCGTCGACTGAGTTTGGGACTGATTTCATATCCAAATTTCTTTCAGACGCCAAGATGACGCGCAATGACAATAACAAAGACGGAAGTTTTATGATTTTATACTATTTTATGAACTCCAATTGTTTTTGTTTTGTCTAAATTTTGTTCATAATAAATCAAACTAATCATATAAAGCAATATTTGGCGTAGAAACTGTGTTTTCTAATACATGACATTCTTCCGAACCTCGATGTTGCCTAGAAGCAACAGTGCCAAACATCTAACAAAATAGGTTTAGCTTTTTGTCAATACAAAAGAGTGTCAATACCCAATAAATCAAACATGTATTACATGGATTATGTTACAGAGATGGTATAGTAATTACTTTGGATGCAATTATGGACCCTGTCGGGCACAGCATTTTAGGAGGGAGGAAGAATTTGCTGTCTGTCTCTGTGTTGTCTCTCTTCACGCTTATACCGCTGAACTGATTTAAATGATAAACACATTTTTCTTGTGTTGAAGTCAACAACTATAGCAGATAACGGTAACATACCAGTTTCAGAAGCTAAAGAGAAAATAAAAAGCTAATATTGGCTCGGCATAATAATTGTGAAGTATGATGACATAAGTCATCTATCAATTGTTGAAGAAAAAGGTCGTTGTCGACTTTGCGAAAATGGCCAAAAACTAGTTTAATGCATAAAATGTGAAATACAATTGATTTTTTCATGATTTTCATATTAAAAAATTAATTCTATAATATATCTCAATGTTTCATTTAAGTACCCCTATTTGGCAATGTGGTAAATAAGCAACAATCGTTTTTCGCGAAAATATCAACCAAATATTTTTTTTATTATTTTTCTTAACTTTATTTGATAGTAACAATTAGGTCTAAATAGATTTTTTTGAAAAAATCAAACAGTTTATGTCTTGCCAAATGAAGGGTTAAGCAAGAGACTCGCTTTTAATAAAATTGAACATGGCTGTCCCTTAAAAAATGAGAGAGTCTAGGTACAAGTAGAAGCCATAGCTAAAGTTTTAATTATAATTTTCTACTTTTGATTTCAGGTGACGTTCTTTAGGTCCGAATACATGACGCAAGAAGAAGCTTTGCGTCACGATGACGGGGTTGTAATGATTTGTTATTTAATCAAGGTAATCATTATAAAACTACATACGTAACTAGATCGAATAGAGCGATAGTGAGTATTTACAGGTATGTATCACTTCTCATCTGACTGCATCTCATCTTTTATAATCAGGTACGATTGTAATCAAATACCTGCTTTGTTTCGCATAAAAAATAGAGAGAATTATCTTTAACATCTGCCTAAATTTTGAGTTATGTTAGGCGATAGTCAAAGGCTTAAACTTTAATATCTTTCAAAACCTGTAATATTTTAACCCTAAAAAGAGATTACTAAAACAAAGCATGAGCAGAGCACATACAAAGAGGAAGCTCCAGCTTTAGAAATAACTTTCGACGTAAATATCAAAATACAGAATAGGAGCGAGCAATAATATTGCTCCTACGTATACTGGCGTAAGTGAAAAAAGTAAATTTTACAGGAGAGCCATTTTAGTGGCCAGAACCATATATTTGGGTCATATCTTCTGACCTACTAAAACGAATTTAATGAAATTTCACATTTAGCCTTAACATGTAATGCTTTTGCTACTGCTGTTATCAATTTTTATATTTTTCTTATATATTTTGAGATTTTACGCATTGCCCTTTTACGTCGGCATATTTCTATAATTTCGTGTTTATTGTTCAACGTAAAGAGACTTAAATGACAACGTAAATATAATATTTTAAGCGATTACTCTCTTTATTTATGCATGTAATTATTTTAATTGTTATCATGTGCTATATCAATAATAAATCAGTTAGAAAAAGTCGTTTAATGTACCGTTTTACGTTTTAACGCAAATACGCCCATATACTGTGCTCGAGATTTAGTTAGGTCTTTTAACATAATGTGTCATATTTTTAAAAAATATAAATAACTTGAAAAAATCGAATTGCCTAAGGCGGGAATTGAACCCACGATGCCTTAGGCAGTTCGATTTTTTCAAGTTATTTAAAATTTTCAAATTAGTTTGAGATGCGACTCTTAACGCTAAAAATTAAATAACTATATAATGTGTCATAATTTATAAATAAAACAATTTGCTAAATATTTTCGTGGCTTTATTTAAGATTTGGATTATAAAAAATATATGTTTATGTAAGCAACTACTCGTATAGATTGACGAATCGTATGATTGGGCTTTATACGTGGCGTAGTTTTGCACATACGCCTATTTGCCTAAAATTTTATTTTGTATCTAATGAAAAAAAAAAAAAATTTCTTACTGATGTTATAGATTAGAGCAAAGTGAAATCATTGCTTAAATAATTGGAAAAAGGCGTAAGCGGCAGTTTCGCCCTTATACGTAGGAGCCATCGAATATCCTCTCTCACAAAGATTATTTATTCGTGCTCAAAATATGGAGTACAATAGCGAACAAATTCGTTTCAGACTTTTCTAAACTAAATTCTAGACACTGTTCAAGTCTAAGTTAGACTTAATATTTTATTTATTAAAATAATTAGGCATTAATAAAACTTTTAAATTATTTCTGTTCATTGCTTACAAAAAGTAAGGAGGTTTTTTCAGGAATGTATGTACTCATAGTAAAAAATATCCTATCCTAGTTTGATTGTTTGTATTGTGTTAATTAAGTATTCTGAAACACACCACTACCTACTTACACATGATATAACTTCTAGTTAATCCTTGCGGCCGGATGACATACAAACATACTTCCGTACCCTACTTTTCCAATTATAAGGTTCAGTTTATTCCAAGAATCCACGAGCGTTAGAATATTGGCCTAGTGTTTTAGCAAGAAACGATACACGAGGTTAAGTTTACTTACGTAATATTACTTGCAGGATATGTTATTAGAGGTAGGTAGTATTTTATCGTGTTTTGAAAAAGTCTTATGTTTTGTTCTATCTATAAGTACTAATACAAAGTTACAATACTAATTAGGTACCTACTTGGTTATTACTTAAGAAGAGGGTTGTCTGGAAGAAACCTTTTGCTAGCGATAATAGCGCCTGATTTGTACCGAGTAGATTTAGTACTTCTGTCTAACATATAGTAAAGTTTGATTAAGGTATACAATTAATACATAAGTAAGGTACCCACGTGCTTTGTCATACGCATAGAGCGGCTCCTACCTTGGATGGTATCAAAGGAGCAATTAGGGCTTAAGCGTAGTTTCTGCTACGGGATTTATCTCCCAAACTAATGACATTGGGAACTTTTTGCCCCACTTTTCGAAAAGTAGCGGACACAAACGAAACCTATCACAGATGATACATACTAATATCCAATGAATTTCCGTGCATTTTTTTTTCTCTCTTATATGGGAATATTGAGAAAATGAAGTTTTAATATTTTATTTTATTTTACATTTAGGTAACATTTTTGACGACTTCCGTGGCGGAGAGGCGCACACACCGGTTTTCAAGGTGTGCCGGGCCAATCCTGAGGTCCCGGGTTCGATTCCCGGCCGGGACAATATAGAAAACGATCTTTTCACATTGTCTCTGGTTTGGGTGTGTTGTGGTTCGTCGTTCCCGATTTCCATAACACAAATGCCTTAGCTACTTATTTTGGGTTGGAGTAATTTATTATGTCAGGGTAAATGTGATAAATTGAAAATTATTAATAATCGCCGGTTATTATGAATAATTCCCGACAGTCGAGGTAAAAGTAATAAATGAATTTACATTTATCAGTGATTATTAATAATGTATTAATACTAACAAATATCATAAAAGAGAACACCTATTGGCAGTATCAAATTGTTTGCATAGAATTTCGATTATATTGTTATAAGTACACTATCCTTAAAATATTACACAATTAGGAATTTTTGCTTTCCAGTCATTCCAGTGGCAACACTTCTAGAAATTTAGTTTTTTGCAAATTTAGTGTATTAATTAATGTGAAATAAATAAAATAATATTTACCGATGGAATGTAATGTTGTCCTTTTCAAGATTTGATGTTTCAGATCTCTTCTTACAATTAAAAACACTGCAATTCACCATTTTTATCGCAGCACGTTACTCTTCAATAGTGACATTTGGAATATGTCATTGGTGGCGCTGCAACTAGTTTTTATAAACTGAGTGAACCACTGGTCTACTTACATTGCTAGAGGGGATTGCCTGTCAGTTCCACTCCTGTTATTTCTGCTCTCTGTTCCCATGATATAAGCAGGTATATTTTTATCTCGTGGAAATCTACGAGATCTACAAAATATTCGTCCTCACATAGTAATGCCCAAGAGGTAACCTGAAGCCATGATAGCCGAACGGTGAAAGGGTCGGACTGGCCGACTCGTGATCCGGGGAACGCGGGTTCGGTCCCCGCCGCCGCTCGACTATTGTGGTGAGCTCACTTGTGACACAAGCATATACTTATTACGAAGCTTAGCTTAGCTTAGCTTAGTACGAAGGGCTAACGGGATTATCATTAATTTTGAAATAATCTTTAAAAAAAATCTATCTGAGGACGAAAGTTTGTTATATCAGAAACTCTACAGCTCTTATTGCTAGCAATATTAAAACTCATTTTTAGACTACCTACTGTTAACGTTTCTATTGGTATCATAGTTATGCATGTGTTGCCTGCGGTCCCATTGCTGAGTTCTACTGGTCACTGGTAAATAATTTAGATTTTCAGGGGTGCATCTACCGATATAAAATCAAGAAAGCTAAGACCAGTAGGAATGAGCGAGCAGTTTAACCACAGGTAACGCATGGTGATGTGGATACACCCGGATTTGACGAAGTGTCATTGTTGATTAAAATTGATGAATAATTAATTATTATAAAATACACCTCTATTATTTTCAGTATGGTGTGAACCCAGACGACCGTCTCAGCTGGGTGATCGAAGGCTTCCCTCGGGTGCAAGAAGCCCAAACCAGCACTCGGATAGGCCCGTACCCGATGTCTCGTCTGCTGCCGATGTTCTTCGAAGACTACTTCTTGTATTGGGGCAGCCTGAGCACGGTCAGAGGGGAGAAGTTCACGGTCCGGTGGTTGGTGCCGAGGATAACATTGTTTGCTTCTTTTGACCAGGTGATATTGGAGTTTAGATCCTCATTTGTTTCAGCCAAATGACGTCCACTGTTGTACAAAGGCCTCCCCTTTACTTTAAGATCCTCATTTGGTACTTAATTGATGTAATTCTTGGTAAGGGAGACTTCATAGAGTTGGTAGGTCAAACTGTTAGTAAAACCTGCTTATGAAGGAATGCACGTAAATGCTTGTCTAGTGAAACTCGAAGTGGACGCATGAGACCGCGGTTACAATTGACTTTTATTGTGTCTCTAATTGCCGGTACTTGAAGGAAAAGCAAAAAAAGCAAAATGAGTAGGTAAAAAATAAAATTAGGTAAAGTCCCAAGGCATTAAGACTTAATGCTAAAACTTATTCATTTCCTGATCAGTTTATCTTTATTATCTATCAACAGATGAAAGCCTTCCGAAAACTATGGGACCCATGGGACGAGCCGAATCGCGGCAACAACAGGCCACTGCAAGAACGCGAGGACCGCCACGTCTTCTTCATCAGCCCGCACTGGAGTCAATACAACTCCTTGCTGCCTATCCCGAGGGTTCCAGAACCTTCCATATCGGTGCTGTCCCCAGCATACGAAGCCAACTACTGGATGCTCCCGCCACAGAACGCGTACATGATACCACAACCAGAGGAGGAAAAAACGGAGGAAGAAAAGTAAGAATGAACCTGCTTGTGGAGGTTGAAATAGATATGCTATCACGTGTCAAGTCAAAATAAAATTTATTTGTTTGGAAATTTGATTTCTTCTACTCCATTTTTTTTCTGATTTCGACGAATTTGCTTCTGATTGACTGCATGATATAAAGGCTATAGGAAAAATGCAAAGATCAACAACTAAATATTTAATTAAATGAAAAATAATAAGATCTATAAAAAATAAAAATTGTAAAAAGACGACTCTATCCATTCCTTAGCTTTCAGTCTCAGCGAAGAATTATTTTGAAATTAGTGCTGCCATCTAGTTTTGTGGCTTAAAACCTTCCAAGGTTTGCTTGCTTTGGGCAACAATTAATTCATGTTGGCGTCATGAAAAAATAGATGCCGCTGTCGTCACTACCTTGTTTCCGAATTCACGCTCATACTTTTTGGAAAAGGGACTGCGCCAAGACTGCGCCATTGTTATCTTTATCGATTGAGGTTATTAAAGGGTCTTAATATTTTTATTTAATACAAATATAAGAAATAATGATAAAAGATTTTAATTTTTCCGTAGAACGTTAAAATAGTGAAATGACATTGACAATGACAGAGACTCGAATCAGCTGTTCTGTCAGTGAGTCAGTCCAGGGTATGGAAACTTCCATACAACGGTCATCGAAGTGAAACTTGCTTCCAAACAGCGACATCGGCACAGAATAAGTAATAGTACAGGTACAGAAGGATTACTCCGCAAGACGATTTAAATAAATGCGAGTCTTGCTACGACGCGATACAGTGGAATTCAGCTCGCACAGCACTACGTACCTACAATTTTATTCACCTACAAGTTTTGTCTCTTTCTATCGCGTGCCTCTGAACTCTTCTTACGCTGTTAGGGTTGCTGTCTAGTAAAAAAATAATTAATCTAGGTACTTATTTGTAATGAGGTACGTATGTAGGTAAGTATGCATTCATTATGGAAAACCTTGGGAGAGGCCTTTGTCCAGCAGTGGACGTCATTTGGCTGAAACGAACGAACGNTACGTAATGCAATCTGGGGGGAGAGGAGGTCTTGAAAAACGTTACAATGCGTTACAGTGGCGGAAGGGCGGTCGATTTCAAGTTTTTAAGCAGAAGTACTTTGTAGTTGGTGTTGTTATTTGTAACTTTATACCGTAATGTCATCAAAGAGAGAGTTTGGCATCTTTGGCATCCCCCCCTCCATGTCCTTGCCATGATCACAAATTATTGTGTTCCTACTAAATTTATTTTAAATCGGTTCAACGATTCTTGAAATAACACCATTTTATGAAATAATTGGTCACATCATCATAACGTGATCAATTTTACGATTTGGCCACGATATAAATGCATATTAGTGTTAAATTTGACTTATTACTTATTAATCAATAAACTTAAATGAGAAAAATTCAATAAAAATAAAGAAAAGATACCAATTGAAATAATTATAAAACTATTTGTTTTCACCCGGTGTAAACACCCACGGGTGGAATGAAACGGGTTTTTATTGGGTTTTTACCCTCATGTGGGTTTTTACCCGGGTGGAAACCCATCTCTAGTACTATGTGTGTATGTGAGCGTTACGTACGTAGGTTAAGTACAGCGAATTTAACACCAGGCTGTCAATTAGTAGGCTCAAAAATTTGACAGAGAGGGTTCTCTATTTCCTAATGTATTACTTTTCTCTATGAGTCAGTCAACAAAAAAGTAACCTCAAATTCAGTCGTTCGAAATTTCGTAAAATGCTCAGAAATATTCTTCGTACCAGCCGGTGGCTGGCGCGGAGGCAAATCAATATTTTACCCTTAGTAGTGCGGCAACAGTCGTGTGCCCTACATAGTGTAAAAAGTCCCTATTTCCATGTTCCGCGAAATTTTTCCAGTTCATCTGAAACTGAATCTGCTGATCAAGTTGACCAGGTAGTTTTTGAAGAAATCTGCAATGAAACTCTAGAATCTTTATGCGATTACTTCGAAGAAATTGTTGAGGACTCGCCCAATCTAAAAGGCGCAGATGTTATGTACAGTGTGAGTACTTTGTAAGTCCATTATTTACCTGTTGAAATTATATCAATACAATTGAGTACCTATTTAATGTTTGTGCATACATGTTACATTTCTTTTATTCTCACTATTTACTAGATTAATCATAATATGAGTACCCAATTCAAAGTTAAGCAAATCAAACCAGGTTTCACTAAAACTTCTGTCTCTGATTAATAACAACCACTGTTATAATCCTAATTAAAATGAAGATCTAAATTATTATTTCAGGATGGAGTTCTAACTGTAGCACTTGGTCCCAAATATGGAACATACGTAATAAATAGACAAACACCGAACAAACAGATCTGGCTCAGTTCTCCCGTCTCCGGACCCAAGCGTTACGACCTGATTCTCAAAAACGGAGGCTATTGGATCTACAAACATGACGGCGTCCCTCTACACCGCTTACTACAAGAAGAAATATCAAAAATAGTCAACAACAAAATTCAATTCAAAAATTGTGCACATAGTTTAGTTTAGTTTATTTTTTAGTTATTTATTGTAAGTAAATAGTTTTTTTTTGTTCCAATTTTGTTTTATTTTCACCTAAATCAAGATGGAGGTGATAGAAGATGGAAATATTATGGATCGGATTCCCATATTATTGCAAAGGGACTTGGAATATTATCAGGTAATATGCACTAAATACCTTATATAAGCTACAAAACCACTTTTTATTATTCAGGCTGTTTTCCTTTTTCTTCTGTTGTAATATCTATTCTAGATTTTAAAAAAATATCTAGCTCTTGCAAATGTATAATTAATTTGATCCCATTTTCCAGGCAAACCAGACGGTATTATCTGAGACAATTTGTCCTGGAGTAGTCGGTGGGAGATTGGACTTTCCCAGAAATGCCTCATTTGCAGCGGTGAAAATTGTGCTCTGGTTAGAAGAGGAGTTTTCAGTTGCTTTCAAGTAAGTATATTTACTTGACTAGGTAAAGGTATGCCTATAAAATTCTTATAAAATTTTCTTCTTGTATGATTCACTCAATTGATTGACCTCCAATTTAATTAATAAAATACTCTATTTTATTCAATAAATAGACCAGCCTTTAAAGTATGCAGCATGGGATGTCCATCTACTAGGTGGACATGGGCCTCATAAAAATAGCAGGAAGAGCTGAATGCAGACTGTTACAAACCGGCCAATCTGCCAATTATTGGGGGAGCCCTATTTTCAGCAGTGAACGTCCTGTGGCTGAAATGATGATGATGATACCATTGTACTGACTACTCTATTATGTAGTCACTTTAAATGTTAATAAATAGATTTTTTTTATATTCCAGACAAGGATCAGGAATGTTTGTCAAGACTGAAGAAGATGATTCTGGAGATATTGGTGTCGCCAAAACTTCAGACCCTGACAAATTCGTGCAATTAGCCATTAAATCCAGTGATTCTTTGCTTGGTAAGTTTTTATGTAGTTAATTTATCTTTAGACTAAAATATGTACCTATTTTTGTTTGCAAAATCGCTTTTGTTACAGCTACATAAGATGCCCCAGTGCTAATAAAACCTAAACTGATTTGTTGCTGTCCTTTGTACTAACACCTCCAGCATTTTGGGGATCAGGGTTTCTCTCAACTTTCCACACCTTTATCATCAACGTTATAAAGTCTCTTTTATTCATGTTTTTTGTCAACTTTCAGAACATCTGTCCTTCAGCATTAAGGTCCATATTTGCATGTTTCTACATATCTATTCTGATCAGGGTTTCTCTTAACTTTTCACACCCTTATCATCAACGTCACAAAGTCTCTTTTGTCAACTTCTAGAGCACTTGCATATGTTGGCCCAAGAAGCTCTCGATCACGCGGACTTGCCAGTATTGACGGCTACTCTTGGAGCAGCTGCCCTGCTGAAGAACAGTCTGTTCTGCTATCTGCAACACGTTGAGGATATGGGCAGCTCAGAGAGACTATCTTTGCTGCAGGTTAGAGATATTTCCGTCACAAGCACTAATATGTAATTTATTCTAATGTAATATGGTTTAAACTCCAAAAAAAATGTAGTTCATTTTTCACTCGACTAAGTATAGGTACATTTTGCAATAAGTCTTCAAAGTTGCTTCCATAGAGTCAACCTTAAAACATAGAGTTAGAAGTAACCACTTCGTCATAGGAGTGAAAACTACTTCTAAAGATAAATACAATCAATGTGTCAGTTATACCAGGAGTTATTCTCGGATAAAAGTTTGGTCGAATCGGGCCTAATTCAATCATTGGAATAGTGGAGAACTAACAGTTCTTACAAAATCAGTCAACATTGAACCTGAGGTGCATCTTACCAGAGTAAATACAAATGAGTAGGTCATCTTCATTCTCAATTTAGCGTGGATTAGCGGTGAGCTGCGCTGAATTTTGTCAGTATGTGCGTGCGCGCCTCATACTTACGTATTGGCGCGCGCTCACATACAAACCGCGCTCGGTGCGTTTCTGTGAAGATGACCTACTCATTTGTATTTACTCTGGTAAGATGCACCTCAGGTTCAATGTTGACTGATTTTGTAAGAACTGTTAGTTCTCCACTTACTATGACCTACTCATTTGTTCTCTGATCTTACTTAAGTTATTCAGACGAACACTTTTTGTCATTTTAAACCAAAGTTCGTCCCGGGTTTAACTTTTTTGTATTATTTTAGTTGTATTATCGAAAGACGAATCGAGCTAGCTTATTGATAAGATTGTTGTTTTTTTTTACAGGCCTGTTACAAACGCTACGTAACAATGTCAGAGGCAGTCGCAGAGAGGGTGCTAGATCTCCACAACAGGGTGCTCTCTCTATACATCCTGCAGGACTCCGGAGGCCGGCCCATTGATGGACAGACGCGGACGGTGCATGAAGCGGGGACTCCCTCTGTGCAGGGATGGTGGCTTTATATGAACGGTACGTTTGCTTTATACTGACAAACACTGGACTATTCCCACCTCTGGTTCCCACCGCTGCAACTCCTGTGTAGCCAGGATCTACAGCTTGAAAGGTACTATGCATTAGCCTATGCGCAGACCACCGACTTTTAGTTGGCCGATAGTTGGGTCCGCTTCTAATTTGTATGAAAATCAAATCGGTGTAATGTGCGCACTTCCATACATGCGCATGATTAACTGCCCGACTAAACTATCGGCCGACAAAAGGGCTGACTTCGGTAAAATGATGTGACGTGAGGTGCCAAACTGCGGAAAATGGCGGAGGAAATATCATGAATAATATTAATATGATTTTATTGTTACCAATTGTATTTGAAGGTGTATGCGTAAACGGTGTGTTTGCATAAATAAAATATTTGTATTTGTATTTGTAACTACTTATTTACCTCTCAGTGTCTTGAGGCAACTTAAAAAAGTACATTCTGTGTTTTTATTATTATGTAGACAGTTAAATACTGCACAGTATTTAGTACACCATTTTCTTTATTTTCTTACATCATACTAGAGGTGGGCGCCGATATACAATTGGCCGGCGGCGGCGCGCCGACTTTTTGACCTCGGCGGCGGCGGCGTCGGCGGCGTGACCTTGTTTGACCTTTGTTAATTAGGTTTTTTTTCAAAAATCTGCTTTTTTAGTATCTGCCGTCAAGATTAATCAGGTGATTTGCAGTTACTTGGAGTTTGAGCCACTAGAGCAGTGGTTTACCCTAGTAAATTAGATACTTTGATATTTGGATAGCGGGTTTGGCTGAGATCAGGTTCTCGTATATTTCCTAAAGGCAAGCGTACCAATGTGCCGATAAAAGTACCCTTAACATGTATTTTTGAGCTCTTTGGAGGCACAAATAGTTAATGTTGGATTAGCNCGCGCCGGCGTGGCGCCCACCTCTACATCATACACAAGAATACGCGTGCGTGAGTCAATGTTCGCTCGTATGTGAGGCCTTGTCGAATAGTATCCTGTAGGTGGGCCATCGGGCGTGTTTTGTTTTCGATGTAAACTCGCGGAGATGAACAGGCCTGACATTACACCGATTTAGTACCGGTCGATTCTTCGTACAAATAAAATCGGGCCCAACTATCGGCCGACTAACAGTCTTTAGTCTGCGGGAAACTTAAAACGAACGGATAGTAATAATTACGAATTTTAAGGCCATCTTAAAGTCGCCTCCTTATCGATGAATGTTTGTTTTCGTTACAGGTAGTAGAAAAGATCTATGGGATACCGTGCCTCCGAGAATGGCTCAAAGAATCTTTGCTGGAATGCTGAATGAAACTCTTACCATATTGACTGTGCGTTATTGCCAGGTAAGAAGGTTCATTTTTGGTTTAAACGGTAAATATTAGTTAACGTTAGTAGCTACGCTGGATGCCCACGCTTAAATGACAGCATATCCTATCTACCCATGAATTGAATGAATTATCTCTACTAAAGCCTGGTCTGCGAGCACGTAAAATTTCGTCCAATGACCCCAAGCTACCCATCCTTATCGCTCGCGCGTAATTATGTTGCTGTCGCGCTCGCACACTCACTGCGGGCGCCCGTCGCACTCGGTACAGAGATAATAAAAAGAGAGAAAAAAAAATAGGTTTATACTTATGTAAATAACAGTAGGGTGCATGGTGGATAGCTATTAAATTAAAATGATAATGTGCTAAAACGTGTCGATATAATTTAGTTTTTTTTGCTATAAAACTTCCCTAACGTCTGTCTGGCCAGAATCGGGACATTAGGCCAAATCTTGCATTTGCCTCCTGTAAATTAAATAGGTTTGTATTCCTGTAATATAAACTAAATGACCTGATGTTATAATAGCCCAGTTTTAGCTTCTAAAAATATTTTTTTGTTTATTTCAGACAACAACAACAGAAGCTACTAACCGCCTGCTCCTCAACGACATTCTCAATATCCTACTCTGTGTAGCTCAGTTACTTCCATCTATTTGCTCAACCGGTGCAGACTTGGCTGGACTGGAAATAAAACAGCAGACTCGAGATGTTAGGGATGTCCACGCGAAGTGCAACAAATTGTTCAAGTGCCTGGTGTATAGGGGCGCCGAGCTGCATTTTATACATCAAGTAAGTTTGCTCAACGTAGCTCAGATACTTCATCAATCTGCTCAACCGGTGCAGACTTGGCTGGACTGGAAATAAAACAGCAGACTCGAGATGTTAGGGATGTCCACGCGAAGTGTAACAAGCTGTTCAAATGTCTGGTGTATAGAGGCGCCGAGCTGCATTTTATACATCAAGTAAGTTTGCTCAACGTAGCTCAGATACTTCATCAATCTGCTCAACCGGTGCAGACTTGGCTGGACTGGACATAAAACAGCAGACTCGAGATGTTAGGGATGTCCACGCGAAGTGCAACAAATTGTTCAAATGTCTGGTGTATAGAGGCGCCGAGCTGCATTTTATACATCAAGTTAGTTTTCTCAGAGTAGCTCAGTTGTTTCCATCAATTTGCTCAACCGGTGCAGACTTGGCTGGACTGGACATAAAACAGCAGACTCCAGACGTGAGGGATGTTCACGCGAAGTGTAAGAAGTGTTTAAATATCTGGAGAAGCTCAGTTACTGCCATCGATCTGACATGGTTGGGTCGGACATTCACTTACGGTTAAAGACATTTATTTATTAGTTATTACCTTATTCACTTACTATTAGGTCGAAAATTGATTAACATTTCCAACTTGTGCCATATAGGGAGTTAACTTGCTAGTAAAAAGATTCTGTCCCATATATTGCCAACATTATTCCCTAGGTACTTATCAAAGGTCGAAGTACTTCAACACTTTTATCATCAATTCAAAGAGCAGGACAAGCCGGCAGTCTCGTCCAAAGACAGCCCGTACCCTTAGTTCACATTCGTGAGCCCGGACCTATTCGAAGGCAGTTTTGATGACATATCCCTGAATGTTAAGAGCACACAAGACCTGCCCAACAAGACTGCTATAGAATAGAAACTACATAATTGCTACCATAATTTAAACCTTATTCTCTTACCATAATATCGAAAATAGATAGATCCGTCTGCTCGTTTGCCTCCTATCACATAAAAAAAAAATCCAACTTGTGCCATATAGGGGGTTAACTTGATAATAACAGGACTCTTTTCCACATATTGCCACCGTAATTTGAACCTTACGCTCATATTATTTAGGTCGAATATCCTATAACATTCTTACACCAATTCCAGGCCTTCAAAGAGCAGGACAAGCCGGCAGTCTCGTCCAAAGACAGCCCCTACCCATGGTTCACGTTCGTCAGTCCGGATTTATTTGAAGGAAGTTTTGATGACATATCCCTAAATGTTAAAAGCACACAAGACCTCCCCAATAAGACTGCTATAGGACTGGAGTTGGTTGTGTTGTTAGCGCAACCGCAGCCATCTTGGGCTTTGATTGTGAAGGTAGGTAATCATTATCATCATCATTTCAGCCACAGGACGTCTACTGCTGAACATGCTCAATGATTTCTGGATTAGCCTACTAGCTTTTGCCCGTGGCTTCGCCTGTAAATTTTGGTCTATCACATAAGGGTATAAAGTATTACCCTACCCCTTTCAAAAACCGGAAAATTTTCCACTATGAATCATGCAGTTTGGCCAATATAGGCTAAAATGTCATAAAACATATTTCCACGCGGACAGAGGCACAATCAAAAGCTAGTCAATAAGAATAGGACCGTAATCAGGAACCACTTGAAACTTATACTTCAAGCCTTATAAATGTAAGTGACACTATAATCAACCTTATGTCCTCCTTCTTAAGGTTCTAATGATGCGCAACTGCCACCTAGCTCGAATGCTGCTAATCCGAGCTATCATGCATAATTATTATGTCAGCATAAACGATCCATAACTCCAAAAAACGACCTTATTGAATTTGTTAAGTGACACTATAATCAACCTTATGTCCTCCTTCTTAAGGTTCTAATGATGCGCAACTGCCACCTAGCTCGAATGCTGCTAATCCGAGCTATCATGCATAATTATTATGTCAGCATAAACGATCCATAACTCCAAAAAACGACCTTATTGAATTTGTTAAGTAACACTATAATCAACCTTATGTCCTCCTTCTTAAGGTTCTAATGATGCGCAACTGCCACCTAGCTCGAATGCTGCTAATCCGAGCCATTAAGCACATGTCGGTGGATAACTCTCTGGCTCTCGCCACAACTTAAAAAAACGGTAACTCCAAAAAACTCCATAATTCCAAAAATAGCTCAAAACGATAACTCCATAAAACGACCTTATTGAATTTGTTAAGTGACACTATAATAAACCTTATGTCCACGTTCTTAAGGTCCTAATGATGCGTAACTGCCACCTAGCCCGAATGCTGCTAATCCGAGCCATCAAGCACATGTCAGCGGACAACTCTCGCTGGCCAGCTGATGGTCTGTGGTACAGTGTGGATGGGAAAAACCAGAAGTGCAACGGGTTTTTATGCACGGCTGACGGATTCTGCAAGTTTAAAGGCGATAGTGACGGTGAGGTTTATCTTAGTTTATCGCTAATCCATCACTAAATTTTAATGACAGACTCAAAAAAAAAAAAGAATTAAATATTATAAAAATGCGGTAACAAACATAGGTAAATAAAACATACAGCTAACTTGAGAATTTCTTTTCAAGTCATGAAGAAACTTGATATGCTTGCAATGACTCTGAACATATTAATCATTGTTAAAAATTGGCTCTAATAAATAAATAATATATATTATTTTATCACGTTTAATGCACTTTTGTTGGAGTCAGTTTTTTTTGTTAATATTATTTTTTAACCACACTACGCTTGACTCTCTTGACCGTCTTAGTACTTCTTATAATTTTGATGGTGACGATACGTTATTTAATCGGTAAAAACTTTTCAGCCAGAGAAGAATACGCCAGAACAGCTGGAGCGTTGACCCACATTCTGGCCACTATTGGAAGCAAAGCCGAACTCAAGTCAACCCTCTGTTACGCCTTGGAGATATCAGGCAGAGACTGGGCCGCTTGTTTGGATAAACGACAGGTAAATAAAATGTAGGTCACAAAGCGTCATGACTGCAGTGAATTCGTAAAATATTTGCATATTATTGCTTTTCACTTTTCAAGCTAAGCAACATATTGATGCAGAGTCCAAAGAAGATACCTACTATCTTTTTAGCATACAGAGAAAAATCTAGAGAAATGCATTATACAGTGATAGAAAGATAAGGAAAAAAGTCTAGTGTTCAGCAATTTGAGCTTTTAACAATGGCTGAAGATGCTATTCAGTTAGGTTCGGTTCACGCTCTGGCTTAACGTCCGAATGTCGTTAATGCAATACCCCTAGTGTTGTTTATACGACACTGCAGCTTGATTGATGCACGTGAATAGTTTTAAGCTCTTTTGATTGATTTGTTTTTTGCCTTAGCCATAAGCCGTGAACGTTTTAAAAAGCTACCCCAATATTAGAAACAGTGGGTAAATCGTGAACTTCGTTTTTCAAGGTTTGGTGCGACCGAAGGCCTCCCTGGTTGGCCGGGATACTTGCAATCGTCGGAACAGCGCTTGAGTTCATACCACCAATACTTGTCAATGCTGTTCTTTCAGGAGCTTCTATGTATCAGGTAACCTATAATTAAATCTTATTATATCACTGTCAGAACCATTCTCGTCCACGCATTGATAAAAGGACTGTCACTACGCGAAATTGTAGGTACTTTTTCCAGGAAAAATGACGTTTTTCTTATCAATGTGTTAATTGTGTTGTTTCTCGTCTCGTCCCAATCACAGTGATGGTAAGAGAGAAAGAGGGGTAAAGAGAAGTCTATTTTAATAAATCGTCTTAGATTCGAATTTGTCTACTCACGGACATTGCCCGCGGGCGGCGTGACCGGAGGGAGCGGCGAGCGTTCGGCGAACGAACGAGCAATGTTCGGTTCGCGAGCGAACATCTAAGAAGACGATCCTGACGCACTCTCTTCAACGACTTTGCACTAAACGGTCTCGATAATCTTGTTTTATACCGAAAAGACAATTATTTTCATACAGTCCACTCTTTTCATTTATTAACTTCCACTACACTCACTATTGGCTCTGTGCACGATTACAGCGCCAACTAGCGTCCATAACTTTGTGGGCTCTGTCACATTGACATTTAGGTCGTTTATTTGTGAAAAAATATCGAAATGTAAAAATAACAAATATTTTCGACTAATAAATTGTTTTGATACCACGATTTGGGTGGAAAAAAGGTTTTGAAATCATTTTGGTCATTCAAATCAAATGAGGTAAGTCCGAAAAGTGTGTTTAATTTTGATTGTGTCGGGGTTTGTTTACTTCATTTATAGTTGTAGTTTTACAGTAAAACAAAAAGAAAAAGCTACTTTAACGGTTTCATTATATAACAGTAAATATATTTAAATGATCCTGTATCGCTAGTAATAAATTAAATATCGTTTTCAGATCGAAATGAGTATTGTTCTGAAGACCGGGTTTGTGAGTGTTACAATATCAAATTCCAACCACAAACCGTATTTAAAGGAAAGTTGTTGATATTGGCTGGACAAGTCCGAGATGTAGAAGAATTAAGAACAAAACAAGGGCAGAGTTCAATAATTCACGCTCTCATCATAAGGCAAACATCTGTGCACAACAACTACTGTGACTCATTTTTGTACTACCACGTTGTATAGTTTAGTTATTTCCAAATTGTAAACGGCTATTAAAACAGCCCTATCGAAATACAGTCCACTCTTTTATTTAAGTTCCCAGTAGGACCCTTTTCATGCGATTAATTAATGATATTAAAATGTATTATGTAGAATCGCTTTGCCATTGACAGATACATCTGATGACAGAGCTTACATTATTTCTACTTTTGACCACCATGAGCGCTGCGATAGATTATGTCCCCCCCACCTAGTACTTCGCACCCAGCGAATAGAAGTAACAAATTAGATTCTGTATATATTCAGCAGTTTAAGTTGATTTATTTTCCGTTCTTATAATTTAAAAAATCAGGCACTTTAACTCTTCATTTTGATTGGTTAACCTATAGAAACATGTTAATCAAATTCTTTATTTGTATGTTGGCCCTTTTCGGGGCGTTATATCACGCCACAAACATTACAAAAAATATATTTCTTTTCATAATAAAATTTCTTCGTTTCAGACAATGTCTCTCTGCCTAACCTGCGTATCCCGTTCGCTAAACTGCATACCACGTAGCTTCACGAACGCGTGTACAATCATAGAGAAGACTTTGCCTTCCCACGTCAACCCTGTAGGAGGCTGTGTGTTACTACAAATGTTGATTACAGTCACGTATGAAGAAATGCTGAAGTGGGCTAACAAGGAAGCTGCGAAGGAAAAAGGTGAGATTTTGTATCGAACTGGATAGTGATAAGGGTCAATATTGCTTGACTTTAGTTCCGAGCATTTCATTTAAGTTAGGCAGAAGGTTAAGACTATAGCTTAAGTAGTTGGAATAGGTGTGATTTTACAATGAAAATGTAATGGGCTGATTACAGTACTTTTGAGACAAACATAATTTGACATTAAAAATGCACCATAAACTATTTTATTTTTTGTATTTGATCTATTTATTTGCCTAACGGCATACATCTAAATTTTAATGTAGGTACCTAAATTGATGAATGCGATTTTAATAAGACGCAACAATACAGTCAGCGTCAAATGGTTCTTGACAACCAAAGTAGCCAAAAAGTTGACAACACAGTCTTATTCCAATGAGGGCTATCGTTTTAGCGCTCACCAGTAGCGCCACTGTAGAGTAAGGTCCTGTCAATCGCCAGGGGTGCCAACTGTTAAGTATAAAAACGATAGCCCTCATTGTAACAAAGACGTGTTGCGAACTTTTTGGCTACTTTGGGTGTCACGAACTATTTGACGCTGACTGTTCTAACCGATATTGTTGCGTTGTCCATAATATAGGTACAGGGTGTTAGCTAATTGGGTATATGCGGCTCATCCCAACTAATATTATAAATGCGGAAGTAACTCTGTCTGTCTGTCTGTCTGTCTGTCTGTTACGCCTTCCCGCTTAAACCTCGCAACCGATTTTGATGAAATTTGGCATAGAGATAGTTTGAGTCCCGGGAAAAAACATAGGATAGTTTTTATCCCGGTTTTTGAAACAGGGACGCGCGCGATAAAGTTTTTCTGTGACAGACAAAATTCCACGCGGGCGAAGCCGCGGGCGGAAAGCTAGTATTATCATAAGTGTCGGCACACTAGCCCATCTTTGGAAAATTGATATCTTAATTTTAATTATTTTAATTTTCATACAAATCTGATTTTATAAATTTTATTTTGTTTATATATTACCTAACCCCCTGTATTACTAAGTCTAACATATTATTTCAGCTGCTACAGCCAATGGAGAGCCGCACAATATGGGTAGCAAGTCAAACAGACAGAGAGGGAAACATGTTCGGATCATGAGTTTGTCTCATACAACCAGTGAGTATTGTTCGTCACATTCAATATCATCTCTATCTCTTAGTAATAAAGTCCAATTTAATAGCTCTTTGAGTTTCGATGGGAGCCACAGTTTGTAATCTTCGATAGCACTGGCAATTGCCAAAGCTCTATGTTCCATAGACGAAGCTGACATCGTCTTTATGTCTCAGCAATAAAGTCCACTTTTGCAGATACCTCAAGCTCGTTGAATTTCGATGAAAGCCACAGTTCACCATAGCACTAGAGATCGTGCAAGCGCCGTTCTATGTCTTAGTAATTAAGTCCACTTTTGCATGCAGTCACCTCAAGTTCATTGAGTTTCGGTGGGAGTCACAGTTAGCCATTTTCAATAGCACTATTAATTGCTGAAGCGCTGCATTCTTATCTCTTAGTTATAGAGTCCACTTTTGCAGATACCTCAAGCTCGTTGAGTTTCGATGGAAGCCACAGTTCACTGTCTTAGATATCACTAGCGATTGACAAAGCTGTATGTTCCATAGACGAAGCTGACATCGTCTTTATGTCTCAGTAATAAAGTCTAATTTTGCAGATAACTCAAGCTCGCTGAGTTTCGATGGAAGCCACAGTTCATCATCTTCGATAGAACTGGCGATTGACAAAGCTGTATGTTCCATAGACCAAGCTGACATCGTCTTTATGTCACAGTAATAAAGTCTAATTTTCAGATACCTCAAGTTCGTTGAGTTTCGATGGAAGCCACAGTTCATCATCTTCGATAGAACTGGCGATTGACAAAGCTGTATGTTCGATAGACCAAGCTGACATCGTCTTTATGTCTCAGCAATAAAGTCCACTTTTGCAGATACCTCAAGCTCGTTGAGTTTCGATGGAAGCCACAGTTCACTATCTTCGATATCACTAGCGATTGACAAAGCTGTATGTTCCATAGACCAAGCTGACATCGTCTTTATTGCTCAGAAATAAAGTCTAATTTTGCAGATACCTCAAGCTCGCTGAGTTTCGATGGAAGCCACAGTTCACTGTCTTCGATATCACTAGCAATTGCCAAAGCTCTATGTTCCATAGACGAAGCTCACATCGTCTTTATGTCACAGTAATAAAGTCTAGTTTTGAAGATACCTCAAGTTCGTTGAGTTTCTATGGAAGCCACAGTTCCATGTCTTACATATAACTAGCGATTGACAAAGCTGTATGTTCCATAGATGAAGCTGATATCGTCTTTATGTCTCAGTAATAAAGTCTAATTTTGCAGATAACTCAAGCTCGTTGAGTTTCGATGTAAGCCATAGTTCGCCATAGACAAAGCTGACATCGTCTTTATGTCACAGTAATAAAGTCTAATTTTCAGATACCTCAAGTTCGTTGAGTTTTGATGGAAGCCACAGTTCACCATCTTCCATAGCATTAGCGATCGCCGAAGCGCTATGTTCTATAGACGAAGATGACAAACACACACAAGAAATTGTTCAACTGGTGGCACAGACTAAAAAAACGTTTACGTTGTCCAATACATTTGGATTGGAGGATTTTCCGGAGTTCGCGGAACTTTTTGAAGAGGTATTTTTTATTCCTTTATAGTAGTTAACTTATATTGAGAAAGAGTTGAAGGGTACTGAACCCTCAGTTCGTGAGTCTATGTCGCAATTGGCCGGCTTTTTTAGGGTTCCGTAGCCAAATGGCAAAAAACGGAACCCTTATAGATTCGTCATGTATGTCTGTCTGTCCGTCTGTCCGTCTGTATGTCACAGCAATTTTTTATGCATGGCAAAGCAGGTATTTGACTGCAATCACACTTGGTGTTAAGTGAGATGCAATCTAAGATGGTACATATCTGCCCTGTTTTGTGTTTTCTCATTTTCTACCCATTTTCCTGCATGCGGCAATTATTTAGATAATCTAGATCCACAGTAGATTTCCTTGCATCACACGGTTGATGTTTTATTAAGAACGTTGACGTCATTTAAGAATATCGACTATCTAAAAATAATGTTATTTTATTCCTAGGGAGATGTGCCAGGCTCTAACGCGGAACGGGCGAGTGACGCCGCGGCTCTGACTAGTCAAATTCTGATGTCAGCACCGGGGAGAGATAGCTTGCGGGTAAGTAATATATAAAATATGAAACTAAACTTTTTAAAATAATAAATGCTACTAATATGTATATGTATACAGGGTGTCCCAAAAAGAGCTTGCCAAACTTATTTATTTATAATAGGCTGCTTGAAGGCTCACAGAGATTCCAAAGCGCCAACAAGTTATACAATGCAAATTACAAATTATGTCAGTCGACGAAGCACATGATTTCGTGCCCTACGTGCCCAAAGAACTGCACGCAGGAAGGCTACTGACAGTGCCATTCTTGTGGCGGAGTTTTGGGCTGACACTGTGTAGGTTTGTTGTCGACACGACAAGAAAAATAATGTAAATTAATAAATAATGTCAATGCTATGAAGATGTTTAGTCTATCATCAGGTATGGAAGCGGCACGGGAGGGTGTTTTTTGATGTCAAACGTCAGAGAGACTTCAGATGTGCTTCAGACTTGTCATAAATGTTACAACACGCCTCCCCTGCCGCTCCTATATCTCTGGCACTGACTCAGTTATGCCCTCAAAGTCAAAAATGTCTTTATTTGTATAGACTACTAGCTTTCCGCTCGCGGCTTCGCCCGCGTGGAATTTTGTCTGTCACAGAAAAACAATATCGCGCGCGTATTTGCTCACCGTTTAGACCTACCCTGGACTACGACAAACATTTTAAAACCAAAATCAGCTCAATCGGCCCAGCCGTTCTCGAGTTTAAATCAGACTAACGAACATCAATTCATTTTTATTTAAATAGATTTAAATAGTACTTCGACCCTAGATCTATAGTTACCAATGTGCTTGATACTAATCTAGCAACATATTTCCTAGGTAATCTACGACCACCTCCAGTTACACGCAGAGAGGATATACAAGGAACTCGGTACGCAAGAGCCTTGCGATAGTTCGGTGCCGCTTAACAAGGCTCCGCTCATATACATCATGTTCCACATTGGGAGGCGACCGTTTGATCAGGTATTGTTGAAAAGTCCAAAGTCATATTCTTCAGATAGGCTTTCAAAAACGCTTTTAGACGTCCAAGTATTACTTTACCAGCCACTGCTTCGGGACAATGAATGGGCCAGTGCTGTAAAGAAGCAGCGCAAGAAACTCAGTCACCTTTATCTATTTAACTTGACATAATTATTTAATCATCCAAGGCTCCCCAACTTCTGGCTTGCGTGGGAAGAAGGAATCTTAGGGCAAATCCTCCATTTACCTCTGGTAAAATTGAGATGGTCGTCCTCCTGCAGTAGAGGCTAAATGACCTGATAATTATACAGTGTGAGTCACGTTAAAGTGTACATATGAAAATAGATGAAACTAGACCTATTTTTATCGACAAAAAAGTGGTCAAAATCTTTTTGAGATTTTTTTTTAATTTTTTATAGAATTTTTTTTCTACCAATTACTTATTGTAAAGCAAACGTAATAACTTTTAAACTAAGCATTATATCCTGATAAAACAAAAACAGTAATAATGCTAAATAACAGGCGATACTAAAAAAATACATAAAGTACACAAAAAAGGCCAACGAATAGTAAAAAAATATACTTTTTGAAAAAAATCTGCTTAAAAATTCGTGTTTTTTTTGGTTATTTGATCAATTTCTCCAAAAAATGCCCCTATAACCGGTGGTTTTTATTACTTTGTATTGTTCTCTATCGTATTATCTTTGTAAACCCAAAAATCGCATGTCTCTATCCCTATCACAACATTTGCTATGATCGTTTATGTTACGGTTTATCACACTGTATATGTTACGGTCAAAGTGATAAATGTGAAAATTATGAATAATCGCCGGTTATTATGAATAATTACCGTTTGATTTGGTAAATCTAAATATATAAAAGGAGAAACTGACTGACTGACTGACAGATCAACGCACAGCCTAAACGGCTAAACGTAGGCACTTGAAATTTGGAAGGGACGTATCTTAGGTACCGTAGAGGTGCACTAAGAAAGGAATTTCCGGAATTCCCACGGGAACGGGAATTAGCGGGAAAAACGGGATTCACGCGTACGAAGTCGCGGGCGGCCGCTAGTGTGTGTATAAAACTAACTAAATAGCACCTTAACCTATTTTTCACTTTAAATCAAAACATTATGTTATAGGCATCATGGAAAAGTAATATTATGCAAGAAACATTCCAAACTCATTATGCCAAATTATATTAATATATGATATCAAAACGTTCAAAAGTTTGGCTGTACACGAGCACGTACACAAGATTATGTTGTTCTCTTTTATGAAATTTGTTAGTACTAAGTTTGAATTATTGAATAATCACTGTTAAATGTGATTAATTTATCACTTTTACCGCGACTGTCGGTAATTATTCATAATAACCGGTTATTATTAATAATTTTCAATTTATCACATTAACCGTAACATATACACTTGCTAGCTGCTGATTTAAGCTACACAGGATTAAATTTGTTGAGTGGAATTGAAGGCCAAACTGTAGAGCCTAGTTGTACCTGTATGCACTGACTCTCAACTCAGTGAAAATGGAAGATTGGCACTGAAATATTAGCAGCGGGCTTGATCAATTTCTATCCTAGGATTAGCCGAGATGCTGGGACTGAGATATATTATTCTATGCATAAGTCCTTGTCCTACTCCCAGTCCAGTCCTATTGTTTTTTTTTAAATCGTCACTCAACAACTTATCCATGTTTCTAGCAAAATATACAATCTAACCTAAAACCCAGTAATGAAGTCGATTTTCTTTCACAGTTCCTCCGCAACGAATGGCCAATGCCGTGGAGTAAGCTGGTCGCTTGCGCAAAGGCCTGGTCGGGCATAGAAGGCGCACGCGCACACGTCATGCGCCGCGCTGACGTCAGAGGCGCTAAGACTTGTAAAAGCACGCGACAACTGATAGAGTTATATGCCATGTTCAAGGCGCCAACTGAAGGGCTACTGTAGGTCACGTGACATTCCGTGGAGTAGCCAAGAATTGCAAGAGCTTGAGACAACTGTTAGAGTTACATAATTATAATGTGATTATGGCGCCAACTCGAGAACTGCTCTATTATGACGTACCTTATACGCCGCGCTAACGTCTGAGGCGCCAAGACTTTCAAGAGCACGCGGCAACTGTTAGAGTTATATGCCATGTTCAAGGCGCCAACTGAACAGCTACTGTAGGTCACGCACGTGACATACCTCAGAAGGTTACGTGATGCAGTTTGGTGACGTCAGAGGCGCTAAGACTTGCAAGAGCACGCGACAACTGATAGAGTTATATGCCATGTTCAAGGCGCCAACTGAAGGACTGCTCTAAGTTTTATTTTTATTTTATTTATTTACTGAGATTGAACAGTTTGATGCGCTATGAGTTGGCTGACTTCAGAGGCGCCAAGACTTGCAAGATCACGCGACAACTGTTAGAGTTATATGCCATGTTCAAGGCGCCAACTGAAGGGCTACTGTAGGTCAGTGACGTGTCATGCTGGCCTCAGAGCGTCAAGAAAAAACTAGGTGGTATATGCCATGTTCAAGGCGCCAACTGAAGGACTGCTCTAAGTTTTATTTTAATTTTATTTTGCTACACCGCAAACCATCTACGCTCAACTAAATACAAAGAAGTACCAATGGTCATCAATAAATGGCGCACAGTTGACTTGGATCGCGCCTTGCGACATTCTCAACCGGAAGACCGAAAGACCCTACCAATATCTTCAGCACCAATTAATAAAAAGATAATGCGCTAGGAAACAATAAATATTATACCAACAGAAGTCATGCTGTCTTACTCGTTGGGTCGACCACGTAGACAGAGGGCAGATTGTAACACCGCAGGTCGTGTTACTGAATATAAAGAACTACAAATGATCACCAATAGTGAAAGTTAAAAGTGCAACTTACTAAGTATAATGTAACAATTGAAATGTACTGTTGTTAACCAAATAATCATAAAAATAAAATGGCTTAAAATACTTTTTATTTTACATAATGATCCTTTAATGAATAGACTTTAGAGAAATATTTTGAGTGGTTATTTAAATGATATTTTTATCTTCAGAATTATTGTTTATTAGAACTACTTGTTTATTATGTAGTTCTACTAACAAGATTAACAAACTAATTAACTTAACCGAGCAGGTGACCATTAGGCAAGCACACTATTTACCTTAACTTATTACCCTAACACTACCACGGCGACAATAAAATTCTCAACAACTTCTGATAGAAACAATGTGGATGTTAAGTCCCAATTTTCAACCGAAACACGAAAACAGTCGTGGAGCAAAAACACTCATTTTTGGCTTATATCAATTTTTGTCCACGACTGTACAATATAACAACAATCGCCACAATATTTCGAAGAAACTCCGAAGAAATTTCTAGCAGCGAGATGTCAAACTGTAATAACATTATCATCTGGCATCTATGAGACCTGATAGCTCTACATTAAGGTGCTCATTCGCCTGGACAATCGACTGTAATGTAAAATCCAAGAAGATGTTCGAATCGAATATTCACGTGCAATACCTAATGTTGAAATAAGTAGATATAAGTGTTTGTGAAATAAGTGTACAAGTGATACAAAACGGCGCAAGGTGACGTCTTCAGATTCTCTCAAGAAAGTCTGCGTAACTGTTCATAATTACTACTGAAACCTGAAAGTACTGAAAGGTTACTACTGAAAGGTAAGTAACTAATATCATTTTCATTAAAATTAAACAATTCATTCATTTTAATTTAGAAACTTTTAAAATATAAGATGTACCTAGGTATTATAACACTTGCTTTAAAGGCAATCAGTAAAGCAAGAGTGTAAAATATTTTCCTATAATGAGACAAACAATCTTTAATTTGGATTATACCTACCACCCCACTGCTCAGTATCCTCACTCATTGATGTCATATTTTACGCACTGTAACAATCGTTGTTACTCGTTCACTGATTTCTACGTTATGTTTATGTAGTAGTATTATGAACCTTTCCATTACATACGAATGTCCCCAGTGGTGGGGCGCCTTTACAAAAAGTTATCAGAGGAACAACTTAAAAGAAAATCTAAAGTTTAAAGTCCCCTTCCAAATGTCAATGTCTGTGAAGGGGCGTACCATAAATTCAGTTATAAAACTTATGACACCGATTGTAAGGCGGAGTCCACTGAGAGCGGGTATTTTTATTTCAAAAGATCCCCAACGAAGAAGCAGTAAGTTTTTTTAATGGAATCAATTAATTCATGAAGTTACTGGAAAAACCTTTTCAGATAATACCACAGAATAATAATTATTAACAGTAACAAATTCATCATCTACCGATATAACACAATTATTATTATGTGTAGGTATGCGAGTATTAGGTACCTATCGTTTAAAATTGTTTACAGAGTTAAGTTTTGTTAAAGTTATGTAATGATTTTTGGTAGAGATAAATAGTAATAATTTTTGCGCGTTCACAAACGATACTTGCTTAAGTGAAGCAGAAAATAGAACGCACAGCGTTGAATACAGCTTTGTGATTGGTTCGTGTGTCACCTTTGCGTCCACGCGCACTGTAAGACCTCATAGTAATGTTTGTGAATACGGACGTTAATGAATTTCATTGACTTATTAAGTAGGTCGTCATGAATGAATTATTATTTGTCTTATTAATATTATATTGTACCACTTAGATAAATTAATGTCTACTGATATACCACCTACACATGTAAACGAGTATAATAGCGTACCATTAAAAGAGCACCGATAAAACTCGAAATAATCCGACTGCTCTGACTCGGGCAAAAGCCGAGCTTCACGATTTTCTGATATACAGGGTGTTAGGTAAATGGGTATATGAGCCGACACTAGCCCATGTTAACATGGTCATATAAATGGTATGGTGAAGTCAGAAAATTGATATCTTCATTTTAATTATTTTATTTTTCATACAAATCGGATTTTATAAAATTAATTCTGTATGAAAATTAAAAAAAATAAAATGATGATATCAAATTTCTGACTTCAGCATACCATTTATATGACCATGTTAACATGGGCTAGTGTCGGCTCATATACCCATTTACCTAACACCCTGTATTTCCTTTTCTCATAAAGATAACAAAAGCACATTGTGCAACTGCCACTTGTCTTCCTCAATTTCAGTGCAATAAAACCTTGTTTCATATTAAAAACTAGCTGTGCCCGCGATTTCGTACGCGTGAAAATAGTTTGAATAATATTTCCCGTTTTTGCAACAATTTTTCTTACTGCTCCGCCCCTATTGGCTGTAGGGCGATGTTACAAAACCTATAGCCTTCCTCGATAAAGGGGCTATACAACACAAAGATAATTATTCAAATCGGATCAGCAGTTCCTGAGATTAACGCGTTCAAACAAACTCTTCAGCTGTTCGTTCTACTACGTGCGTACGTACTAGGTGGACCGACGATCTGGTGAAGGTCGCGGGAGGTGCCTGGATACGAGCGGAGCAAGATCGGTTTTCGTAGAAAACCTTGGGGGAGGTCTTTGTCCAGCAGTGGGCCTCTTTCGGCTGAAACGAACGAACGAACTTCAGCTGTACGAGTATTTTATAGATTTATCCATATAAACACGCCTCTACTCCAGGGAAGTTTTCCATTCTTTTCTATAAGACTGCTGTGAGAGCTTACCAAGCAAAATGTTTTTCTAAATACCAGACCGCAACTTTTGAATATTTATTAGATACTTCATGGAGAAAATGCTTAATAGAAAACGTCGAGCGGTTCAAAGAGTTGAATCATTATTAATGTACCTATCATTTAAAATGTGTCCGAGTGATTTACTAATTCAAAAGTTCAGTTTAATAGAATATATTAAACTGAAACTTATTAAACGCTTAAAAAGTGTATGATGGTGAAGAATGGCACCATACAGATTGGAAGCTTAGTCATAGGACAGAATACAGTAAAACCATATTATTATTTTGATTAGTGTTGCTTTAAAAAGGGTACACCAACTGATATCTTTATAGGAAGACATCAGTTGCAGTGTTCCCGTTTTAGAACAACTTGGTTTTATTGTGTTTTGTCAATGGCTGGTAGAGTTCAATGACTGGAAGTTTACCTACATAAGTTTACACAACATTATAGGACGATATAAGTTAACAGAAGTTAATATTCCAATGCATAGTAATGTAAATTAACAATTAGACATTCCATAGTACGTTCCGCTGTCAACATGGATCCGAAATAGAAACCGGGACAGTCGCCCAGACAGCGTCGCGGCGTAGTTCGACATGTTACATGGAAATTGAGATCAGCTCTGAAGTTACTGGTGGAACTCACTTGGCACTCACTTGATACTCACTTGGTACTCACTTGATACTCGCTTGGTTCTCGCTTGGCACTCACTTGGTACTCGCTTGGTACTCACTTGGTACTCACTGTTTAGGACTTGTTTAGAACTCTCTTGCTTACCTTAATTTGGTTGCAATCTAATTAGTGGAATTTAAGTGGTCGCATGAGACCGCGGTAACAATTGTTTTCTATTCCTGATACTTGAATGGCTACGAGAAACGCCTGTTTTATACGAATATTTTACTTGCTATGTAAGATTTTTTGTAAAGGAAAATCAAATCTTCATTAGTGAGTTGAGCCATTCAGGGAGCTTACTTGCAAATCCCAAAAGCTTGCATCCCTGTTGCCTAAACTTATTAAGCCCGTGACGGAAAATTTGCGTGCCCTAAACGCCTTTAGTACATTTATTGTTTGGTAATAAATTGAGTAGGTATTAAAGAAGTGACGTAACAAACCCGTTGTCTTTCAGGGTTTCTTTAATATTACCTACTCCGCCGATCGGAGCTTGATATCTTGTGTGATAAAAATAATTTGAGATGAATAAGTCTTTCTAAAATAGTAAGACACGGGTTTTCACGCAACGTTTATTAATGAGTTAAGACCCGTGTCTTACTATTTTAGTTAAAATGGAACGCGAAAGTTTAAAATCTTATAATAAGTCTTTCTGTTTTGAGAGTCGAGTTTTATGAAGTAGGTACCTGAAAGTACCATTTTGGTATGTTGTAATAAAATAGACTAGCGCCCCGCCCCTGCTTCGCATAGGTATGTGTACTTATTATATTTAAGAACCTTCCTCTTGTATCACTCTATCTATTAAAATACCGCATCAAAATCCGTTGCGTAGTTTTAAAGATCTAAGCATACCTACATAGGGACAGACAGACAGGAAAGCAACTTTGTTTTATAA